GGGAAGCTGAAATCATATCTTTTGTAGTAAAGTTTTTTTTTTTAACCGACCCTCATTGTCAATTTCTAGATGTAAGTCAAGATATGAGGCAGACTTAACTGTATCTGTTGTATCCTTTATCTCAAGTTCGATGGGATAGATTCGTTCAACATAGTCACCAAATTTTGAATTATTTCGGGAGAGAACATCATCTACATAGCGGAAAGTAAAGTTAAAGGATACTGCTAACTTCTTTTTTTTTTTCTTCCTAGGAAGTTCCTGTATGAAATCAGCCTCATATGAATAAAGGAACAAGTCGGCAAGAAGAGGGCACAGTTTGTTCCATGGGAATGCCTTTTAAACAATTGTATATACATCTATATACATGTAAAAAAATATAAACTTCGCGATAAACAAGAACCATGCGATATTATGTTTAAACACTATAATTTTTGCTGAGTACTTTAAAACCGTCATTAATACAGTTTCTATTTTATATACACAATTTTTGTGAATACGACAAGTTGTACATATCCTTGGTAATCTGTGACACAGATATTCCATAACATTTTAAACCCTTGGTGTAATAGCTTCCTTTTAAGCAGTAACTCTCAAATAGAAAAAGCAAGCCATTAATACCGTACCAATTGGGATGTGTATACTCCAAATGCAAGCGCTAATGGGATGTTGCTACACGGAAATAGAAAATTACATTAGGAATACTGAAATCATTTCTTTTGTCGTAAACTTTAGTTCTCAGCCGACCTGCTTTGTCAATTTCTAGATGTGAGTCAAGATATTAGGCAGACTTAATTGTATCCTTAGTTTACTTTATCTCTTATTCATGTTCAGCTTGGGTCAACATAGTCACCAAACTTTGTATTATCTATAATCATTGAAAGGACATTATCTATATAACGAAAAGTAAAGTTAAAGGACAAAACCAATTTCATTTCATTTTTCCTGAGAAGCTACTGTATGAAAGCTGAATCATTAAAATAAAGAAACACAGGACACACAGTTGAAATGCAGATTGTCTGTTAAAAAAAAGTCTAATGACACAGTACATTATGGATGCAACTCACATTACTTGGTAGAGTAACTACATTTAGAATTTTTCAAAATTGAAGCATGGCAATTTAGTCGCAAATTGTTGTAACAACAATCCCGTCCTCTTTTCCTCTAACATCACCGAATTAGACTTTTACCTAATCAGTACTAACCTTGAGCAACATAGTGGGTGCCAATAGTGGAACAGGATATGCTTACTATTCTGGGGCATCTAAGCTCAACCTCAAATTTTGGTGGTGTTTGTGTTGCTCAATCTTTAGTTTTTTATGTTGTGTTTTAGCCATGGTTTTTCAGTTTCTATTCGACTTATCAGTTTTGATTGTCCCCTTGGTATTTTTCTACCTTATATATTAGTTTCACTATTGCCGAGAAGGCTTGTCCGTAAGGTGCATGGAAAGGGGGGTTTCTTCCATCTTGGATTTTAAAACAGCAGAACATAATCCGTCTAGACATTTATTAAAATATGCAAATATTGCGACAGGAATGAAATTATTTGAAAGATTTTCATCTTAATAAAGACAAATTTTAAAGTACCTGGCCAGATTTTGTGAGATATACCAATCCGGCCTTATAATGAAAAAAAATGACTTTTTATGTTAAAATAAGCAGATTGGTATTATTTTGACTGTATTAATTCACTGCTTTTGTTTGGGTTATATTGAAATGATTACATCTAAATAAGACTGAAAAATAATTCTATATTCTGCGAAGACATACAAGCTTTTTACCTTGCGATGATATATATTTCAATATTTATCTTAAAAAAAATCACCTTTTCAAAGAATGAAAACGGATGATCTGTAATGTTTCACAAATTTCTGAAGAATTAGCTATTTTGATATTGTAAAAATTCTCTTCATTAAGAGAATTTTGAAAAAAAAGTAAGAGCTGGCAAATCGAACCTTTCATATCTTTTATTTCATTCCTCAAAATAACACGTACTTGCGCAGTGTCCACTTTAATGGTCAACTGAATTCCAGTACATGTGTGAGTAAGTTTGGTCATGAAAACAAAACAGGACACTTTTGTAAAATGAAAGATAACCCAAAATGCTGCATTACTCGTTCTTATGTGTTAATGCAATATATGTATAGTTTCTTGCAGGATATTATTTCAACGAAAAGGAGCAGTATTTTATTAGTTGATGATGCATAAACATTGTATATAAAAGTAGAAAACTGTATTAATGACGGTTTAAATTCTGGAAAACATCTCCTTTAGACTTCAATGCAAACCTATTTTAAATATTAAATTTATACCTGGTTTACCTTTTAATTTAAAAGAAATCAGAAGCTTTTATACATCATTCATTAAAGTACAAATGTAGCTTTATCTTTTCAACAATAAAGACAGTTAGGGTCATGCGGCATTTTGGGCCATTTTACACTGCTTTGTTTACAAACACTAGATTCCATTTAATTACTACACTGATCCCCATTACTTTCAATCGTGTAGTAGTATAAAAATTAAGTCCAATCAGCATCCATTTTTCATTATTCTTAACCCTAGTTTTGATCCATCTATAAAAAGGATTTGTTTCAAACATTATATATCAATTAGAGGAGCACAGGACTTCAGTGGTACCCAGAAAGCTCTCCCCATAATGAGCGGTCCTTAATGACGTACATATTTAGTGAATTTAACCTTTTACAACTTTGTGATTGTGACTGCGAAATCTATAAGAATATTACGAAGGTGTATAGTCATTGGTTTTACTCCTTATGGTATTTATATAGCCGAATAATGAAAAATATATTAAATAAACCATGTCAAGAGAAAAAATGAAAACTTGAAAGATGATTCCTACTATAACTTCTAATCAATCATATCAGGCATTACAAAAGAATCAAACAGCAATATCAACATCAATTATCATGATACTAGCCATATAAGCATATTTTTGATTATTATAAGTTCCATTTTGATATTGTTTTCCTCACATGAACTTTTGGATAATTATACTGTTGATTGTCAAATAATGACTTTTTCTAACTTTCTGATTTTTTGGGTTATGATTTTGATTTTTATCTTACAACAGGCAACTATCACCCACCTTAGTATGTTCCAACTTTTTAACTGCCTAGGTACATTTTTACCGAGCTGTCGTGTATTGTATATGTATTTAGAATCAAATAAATGTTCGACAATAATTAATATCCGAAGCACGGGTGTTGGCTCTCCGAACTTTCCAGAAGTTCTGTGTAGACACCAAATTTCCGAGCTTCGTTCTAGGTTTGGTAGTTGCGACAATAATATATATCATATGTTTAATTTAAAGGTAATTTCAATTTGCTGTATTTGACAAAACCTTTCGCAATTTTGTGTCTTCAATACTCTTCAACTTTTTACTTTATTTGGCCTTTTAACCTTATTTATTCGAGCGTCACTGATGAGTCTTTTATAGACGAAAAGCGCGTCTGGCCTACGAAATTTTAATCCTGGTATCTTTGATGAGTTTATTTTGTAGTGTTATAATGTTTAAAAGATTGAATCCCGTCCTCTTTTCTCGATTTTGTCATTACGAAATAGTGAAAAGCGTACCCGGATTTTTGCTTGCTTCAGTAACATAACGGGTACCACATGTGGAACAGGAACTTCTTGCCCTTCCGGAGCACACGAGCCTACCCCCGGTTTTTTGGTGGGGTTTGTGTTGCTAAGTCTTTGGTTTTCTGTCCTTTTTGGTTTTATCTGGTTTTCAACGTCTGTTTTATTTTTTTGGATTTTAATACATTTTGGCTTCGAGCATCACTGAAGAGACATTAATTGTCGAAATACGTATTTGTGCAGTAAAATGTTATTAAAATTAATTTGATTGGGCAATAAAAGGTTGTTGATGCAGAGAATTCCATTAGTCAGTAATGGGGGTGACATTTTTTCGAATTATATACTTTCCCTAGAGGAACGCAAACCACGTTATCGTTTAAGTTGAAACGCGTTGCTCTAGCGTACGCGAATACAGTGTATCGTTTTGCTCTAGAGTAGTAGGACTAAATATTTACGCGCTACTTTTATGATACGCAAACAAACTGTTTGGCGTTGGTCTTGCGTATGCAAACAGCTGATTTTGCCCTAGCAAACGTACACGTGCGTAATCCAAAAGTACTTTCACCTTTCTACATGTAAATATGTGTTTTAAATTCGGAATTTTTGTCAGTTTTTATCTCCAGCTTTTAATATCTAAGTACGTTTGTTCTTTCAAGAATTTGTTGTTGCCAAATCATTGGTAGTCTCTGCCAAAATGTATCCACGACTAGCCTAATTTCCAGACGATTTAGCCGAATGGCTTGACATATTCATGATATTTAATAGAAACTTGTCTATTGTTGAACGCTGTATATATATTCACTTCTATATGTCATTTCTAGTCTTTTGTGCCTTTTGGGTTGCTGTTGTTTCCAATAGATGTATTCCCAATATTTTTTCAGACATACTCAAACAAAAGAATACAAGACAAAGAAAAAAAAGACAAGGTTAAAAACTATTATCAAAAATACTTAATTCGAAATAGAAATAGCTCCAACACTGACAGGTACAATACGATTTCATTAAGAAATATCACAGTGAAATATTTGGAAGGCCATATACACATATTTTCAGGAACATCACAAACAAGGTTAACTGGACATAACAATCAAACCCGTATAAGGACACCTTAGCTACGCTTTTCAATAGTCAGAACTATATATTTGCAGTAGAGGCATAAAATTATTCATGTCAAGTACCGACATACGGTTAGATTTTAAATATATGGAAAGAATTGCTTTCAAGTAATTTATAATGGTCAGTGACATGTATTCCTAAACGAAATACCCAAGTTCTTACTTATTTAGCCAAAATATAACTTAACATTCTGTAGACGTCTTTTGATTTTGTGTCGATTGGATGCTGTCTAACTTGTGTATACCCTGCATCGCCTTTTCCGTATGATAAGGTGTGTTCAAAAGTTTACATGATATTTTGCTGTCTTTTAATTGTAAGGTTTTACATTAATCTTTTTTCTTCCAAAATTCGATCCTATACAGGATCAACTCTTGTCTTTCATTTCATCTGAAATGAAAAAAAAATGCAACTCGTCGAATAGAATATTTAATTTAAAGGATATCGTATGAAACATTCGAAAGTAACATATACAAAATCGTCTTTGGAATTCGACATCATGACTGACGCACAAATTCAATACTCTCGGAAAGTATTTCGTGTTTGCACAAGCTGACAAGTACCCAACAGTGTTATTTCCTACATTTAGATATTCGCAAATGAGTAGGACCAGGAAGACCTATAATATTTTGCCCTTAAACTTGAATTTTGTCATATCCATCTAAAAGCCAATCTGTACAATTTAAAGTAAACTAACATTTTTTTCTGTGTGGTGCTTGCATTAGACAACGTATAATATATAAATTCAGGTGTCGGACAGATTAGGCTGTTTAAACAAAAACTACTAAAATGTATACAAAAACTGTGCTGGTCAGCATCAAGATACATATTAATAACGAGAACAATATAAATCAATTCTGATGAAATGCGCAAAAACATATTGATTTCGATTTTTTTTGTTGTTCTTCATCTTATCAACATTATAGATATTAACATGTTTAACACAACTCAAATGCTTACACAAATTGCTGGTACGTTGAATACGGAAGGGTTCTGGATTCCTTTGCTGATTCCCATGTAAGTTACTGTTGTTTTCTTACTTCCCTCTGTAAAATAACAGGATACAATGTCAAACAAATCTGTGTGACAGTTTTAAAACGATCAATTTTCAGATTCAGGTTTTCGTTCGATTTTTAATATAAAACTTTTATCACACCCTATTACCGTCTATCTCTACGGCAGGTAACATATGATCTGTGTTTCCAACTGCTTATTAAAACAGTTGTTGTGGCTATCGTGTACAGCTGAGTCTTGTCTGATTGTCATTGCAATACAATGGATTTTGCAATTGCGTACAGCATATTTTGATCTGTATTACCTATTGCATTTGATGTAACGATTTCCGGATTTTTCTTTAATGTTGATCAACATCTACAGTTAACTTGTTGAAAATGTTATGGAAATATTACTCTGCAAATAATCTTGATACACATACTAGTATTACAAACTAAACATTTACTCGATTACTAAATTTATTTCGAAAAGTGAAAAGAATCTTTTTTAAATGTAATTCCTCTACCTCCGAGCCAGTTTGGACTTGCTGTATCTGTCATTAAAGGAATACAGCCATCGTCAACAACTTCAAAGTAAAACCTTGTTCCTGTTATATCCATATACTTGTAAAGTGTTGCATTAAGTTTTGTCATTCCAGCGCCAACATATGACCTTGACAGTATCTTAGATCCCACTGAAATTAAATTGAGGAAGGCCAAAATAAATTTGAACTTATAATAATAATGGTTTGAACAGTTCTGTTTATATCCTTTTGGTTTTGTGCTCTTCATCTTTTTTATTTAAGGAGGCCAACGTTTGGTCTGGCGCGAACATTAGAGTTATTTCAGTAACAGGTGCACACGGAAATCATACCATACGGCTTTTTGTTTATTATTTTGTATTACTATTCTCGCTTTTTATGATTACTGAATATTTACTTCAGGAAGGATTGAGACAGACAAAAACAATAAGACATCTAGAAGCCAACATACGGTCTTCAAAAATAGTCAATTATTTATACAATATGACAAGCTCTGAATAGCCACGGGTCTAGGAAAGTTAAGTGAATAAATTTAACAGAAACAATCAAATACCTACCAGCAACAACAGTAATTTCACCATACACATTTTCGTATTTTAAATCATTTGAGTGAATGAGCTTAAACGGACAGTATTTGATTTTTTAATGAATGTATCCTGGTTTATAAAACCCTATGATGATGAATAGAGAATATTACTACTACGAAAGGAAAACTGCAGGGATGTAATGAACTATCGAATCTACTCTGAAAGAGAACGGCCTATTGGAAAGAGAATATGTTACTATACTCATTCTGATAAACACTTTGGGGGAAATGGAAAGCATCGTATAGTTTTGTGTTCAAAATATCTGTTGTCAACTGAATGCGAATAATCTTTATTGCGTCAACGATATATTTAATTTCTAGTAATCTACTTACTTGGTATACAGGCTAATTCAACAGATGTTGTGTAGTTCAGTGTCGTGCATTTATTATTTTGTATAACATACTCTTTATTCTACAAAATAAAATACCTTTATTGTAAACACAAATAAAGTGTTTTGCTTATTAATGTTCAAACGGGCAATACTTTTGTTCAGTAACGAATTCTTGTTGGAAAATTTATAAAAATCTGTAATAGAAATTAAGACATTAATAATAACAGTGTGCATTTGAGTAAACAAAACATTCGTCAGATTATATTACAATTTAACAAATTCGGAGGTATCGCTGTAGTGCTTGTCTGGTGTGCATGAGATCGTGAGTTCGATCATAAGTCAGATTAAACCAATGACTTTTAAACGTCTTCGCTGCATTGTAAGCATGTGGCATTAAGGAGTAAAAGCAAAGACTGATCGCCTCGGAGTCAAAAGTATGTACTGTGCCCTGGTACGGTAATTTTATTCCGGTCCAAAACAACACTCCTACCAGGTTTCGTAAAGTTTCATCATAAGATTAAATTGAAATCGGCAGTATCATTAAAAGGCCAGGAAGTGATTAAAATTGTCAGATCATCAGAACAAAGAACATTTTGTTATATGAATTATTGAGTATATCACGTCTGTAGGAAGATGTTAGAAATTCTGTGCTTGAATATATATCATTTCCAGTGTTTTGTTCTATTAACAAAATTCCAATGAAAGACGCAATGAAAAAATAAATTTATAATATATTTTTTACGAGAAACATTATATTTACAGAAAAGATTCTGATAACCACTGTAAACAACATAGAAACTAAAGCGGTAAATTGTTGAGGAGCAAGCAGAGCGTTAAACATGCAAATATCAAAATGATACCTTAAATCAAATATAGAGTCTGTAAGAATCTACGTAAGAAATACTATAAAAATGAACTTGAACAATGATATAAAGAAGTATATGAAAATAAAGTATCTTCACTTGATAAAAATACTAGCAGTAAACTTCTATTATTTATACAGTCATATAAAACTGAATCTAAACAAAATTAAAGTATTATTTGACATACCGAAATCTTGATATAAGAAAACTTGTATGCAAATTTAGAATGAGTGATCAATCTCCTCGCTTTTGAAACTTGAAGATATAAGAATATGCCATGCCACCAAAGACTTTGTAATAGGTGCAAAGTTCTGGATGATGAATCCCATTTCTTTTCATTTTGTAAAATAATATTGATTTAAGACTTGTCGTTTATAATGATTTAAACAACCAATATTTTTTTCCTGACAACAAACTGAAATACATTCTAAATCCAAATTATAGCAAGTAAAATTATTCATTTTTAGACTGCTTTATGAAACAGTCTATAAAACTGAGGACATGGGACACATGTTGTCATTTTTTGCGTTGTGTGTTGTGTGTTTAATGTTTTTATTTTATTTCAGGTTCTAGAAAATGTCATGATGATGGTATTGTTTAAATTGTAACTTAGAAACTATGCTTTTGACCCCCTTATTGGGGTAATTTGAGCTTAATAAAGTATTATTATTATTATTTGAATTTTCAGCTTTAAAATATCTTTTAAATCATTAATTATTCATTGGTTGTTAAATACGATCAATGACTGTTCGTTTTTTCCCAAAAATTAATAAATTGGCCAACAAAATGATTTAGGATTTTACTAATTTTACTAAACGATTCATATTTTCTTTGAAAGTTTGTATTGCATTTAATTGTCACACACTTTTTGTGAATAGAGATAATTCCGATTACATCGAAAATAGTTAATCCTTTCCAAAGAGGTGTAATACCACAAACATTTTAAATCCGGTTCCAAGATAAAAAAGGGTAAAACAAATTTTCTCTTCAATTTGACTGTTGTAGAAAACTAACCCTGTTTTTCACTAGAGAACATTTTTTTAACCTTAAAATATATCACTGGTGTTTTAAAGCAGCAATTATTTTTTTATTTGGTGTTCCTGTTAAATATTTTGGAAACTTGAGGTGACATGGTTACTTAAGCTTGTATGATGCGGCGTGATTTGGATTTTTCGATGATATTTTGCTCAATTCGCTATATGTATCGTATACTTTATAATGATAATCTCTAAAACTATTGAACTGATGATGACAAAACTTGACGGTAATACTTGAAATTACCAGTATTTCACGGGTAAAAATCACATTCAGCTTATTCAACAATATGGTCTTCTTTAGGTGTAATACCACCATACCAATGAACGTCAAATACGGTCTTGTCCTCAAAAGGGCAAACAAAAATATACCGTTCAATTCGAAAATTGTAGGAAATGAACCCTGCATTTCATTTCAGAATTTTTTTTCTGTGTCATGATGATGAACATGTATCTTTGGAGTTTCAAAGCACCATTCTTTTTAAATTTGGTGTTGCCATAAAATATTTTGGAAACTTGGTGACATGGTAACTAAAGCTTGCAAACAGTAAAAGAGGATGAAACATAACTTTGTTTTCTTTCGGTGGTGGTTATTTTCTTATATGCAATGAAATGTTATGTGACATTTCATTGTAGAAAAGAACAGTATAAAACTTTACTCATGCCAAGTATTTCTTTATTTGAAACAAAGATAAATTATACACACTTTTTTGGAAAAATGTCTATTTAGCAAAGACTAACAGGGGAAACCAATGATCGTATTACCCCTAGATTGACTTTACCAAGGCAACATGTTTGTTCTTCGTGTGAATTGCCTCATTTTATAATCGCAGTCTATTTATTACCGCAACGAAAAGAACGGATACATTCACATGTTATGTGTTACAGTTATTTTTTCAAGAAACTAAATGCTATTAACATGATATTTAAGTATGTAAAACTGCGGGCAAATTTGTATTTAGTTGAACCTACAAGTATTATTTCCTTTATATAGTAAGAAAGACAATTTGATCCAAATATCCAACATTTCAAGCTGAAGGTCCATTCTGACTTAAACCATCAACTCACTCCTTATTATTGTTATATCCATTAAATTACAAATTTGAAGGGTAAACGCCAAAATTCATAACACAAAACAATAAAAGCTAAAAGACAGAAGAGGGCGACCCCATATTTCGACCTAAAAGGTCACTGTTAGAGTTGTTGAAAACAAATACATCAGATCACATATTTTGATTTTAATGTATTTACCTTTTATATAAAAAGAGTTTGTACCGTCTTTGTCTATGTATTTCATTCTTGGGACGACTTTGCAACATTTATTTTATCATTTAAATGAAAAGAGGCTTGAATAGAATTTCAAATTTTGTTACGCCTTCTTTTCTGATCATCAAATTTTAAATGACATATTATATTTGGCCGACTATTTTATGAGTTAATTTATACATATGCTGCAAAAAGTAAAATCACAAAAATACTGAACTCCGAGGAAAATTCAAAAGCTTAAACAATCAAACAAATGGATAACAACTGTCATATTCCTGATTTGGTACAGGCATTTTCTTATGTAGAAAATGGTGGCTGTATTTCGTGTGCCTCTGTATTCTGACAATTTATTTCCTCAATTTGTCGTTTCAATTCAATGGTTTTCATTTTCCCCACCCCACAGAGATGTGCCCAAAGATAAAAACTCCTCCAGCAGGCTAATGAAGAAGTGGTTGAAAATACATGCCTAGCAGGAGAGTGAGGCTTCTTACGTACCATGATAATGCATCTGGTTTCGTTTTACTTGGAGTCCATGGTTTTTTGTTTTCACTCTTGATTAGTATATTCAAAATTAATGAACGACTTATATATGAACATCTTTAAGTTATCATGAGAAAATCTACAGATTGTCTTTTGAATTACAAGAATAATTTACGTCTTCAACCTATCCGATAAAAATTCCCATGTCATCATTTTAAATAATATTTGTTGTTCAATCAACTCATTTTGTTTCCTTTATCAACGATACATCGTTCTTTTATCCACCAATTTTGTTCAACTTATTACCGACACATCGTTCCTTTATCCACACATTGTGTTCCCCTTATTACCAACACATCGTTCCTTTATCCACCCATTTTGTTCACCTTATTACCGAAACATTGTTCCTTTATCCACCCGTTTTGTTCATCTTACTAACGACACATCGTTCCTCTGTCCACCCATTTCGTTCACCTTATTTCCGACACATAGTTCCTTTATCCACCTATTTTATTCCCCTTATTAACGATACATCGTTCCTTTATCCACCTATTTTGTTCACATTATTAACGATACATCGTTCCTTTGTTCATCCTTTTCGTTCCCCTTATAAACCATACATCTTTCCTTTATCCACCCATTTTGGTCCCCTTATTACCGACACATCGTTCCTTTATCCATCCACTTTGTTCCCCTTATTACCGACAGGTCGTTCCTTTATCCACCCATTTCGTTCACCTTATTACCGACACATCGTTTCTTTATCCGCCTATTGTGTACCCCTTATCAACTTCACATCGTTCCTTTATCCACCCATTTTGTTCGCACTATCAACGATTCATCATTCTTTTACCCTTTTCGTTCCCCTTATTAACAACACATCGTTCCCTTAAACAACTCATCATAACAGTTGTATTAATTTATGGACATATTTACCACTGGACGTTAAACAAACATTAATCAATCAATCACCAATGTATCAGCATAAAATAAAAACTATATTTTCAAAAAAAACCAATAAAACTGTTATATGTTGAGTTGTTCAAAGGAACGATGCATCTAGTTTATTATCATTCCGTTAAAGAATATTTAAACCAAAAAGGAATCAAAATACATGTACAAGATAAACAAACATGCAAACATGAGTTATGTCCTTTAAATAAGTTGGTTTTGCCATCTTAATATTTTTCTCTGTTGTCTTGAAAACTATAATAAATGCATCAAAATGATCAGCAATACAAGATCTAAAAAATGCCATTCTGATAAAATAAAAAACATCAATTTACTCCTGATATGAGTTATTACCCTTAAATTACAAACAACTCATTTAATTAAGATTGTAGATAATATGTCAGAAACAACTAAAATCAACTTCTTAAAATACAGTAGCCCAGAATTATAAACATTTCAAGTTTTAAAAATATTATACACAGAATCTTGTGGCCAGGTTAACAACGAATCAACTAAACATACATTCACCTCAAGTTATCAAAACTAATCAAAACAAATCAAAATGTTCTGCCTCTTACAAAAAACACTTGACCTGAGCAACAAGAAGCCCACCTAATTTCAACATTAAACCCAAATACTCCATAAACTGATAATTTCTCATCTGAAACTACTATCTTCTTAACAGAGATTCGTTCTATTACACCATACTGAGACAACATTTACTTCCAATACAACTTTGGTGTCCTGAACTTTGGCAGAATTAATTTTTTTGCCTATCGTACCGATTGAAATACTTTTCCTGATATACTTTAATGGTTTTAATGTATATAAAAATATACGTTAGTTGGTATTCTTGCCAATTAGACGACCACGACGACTCTTCATCGGAGATCTACTGGATGCTTGTTTGTTCATGATTTCAAGAAACATGGATTGATTGATTCATATATTGTCGGTGTTAAACGCCACTTTTGGGACACTTGACTATATAATGGTTGTTAGCTTTTTTTGGTGGAAGAAACCGGAATACATTGAGTGAACTGAATGATAACAGTAATGTATTATTTTAGAAATAATTATAATAATTATAATGAAAATCATATGAATTTTATATATAAATATTATAAATATTATGTACATCAATTTTCCACAGAGAGGTCGTCAATCATTTTTATAGGACGATCATGCATACATGAACATTTGTATGGGTGGGGTGAAGTGGGTAGGGTTTAAACCAAACCAAAAATTGTGGAATATGCATCTAAGTGTTTGAACAATTCTTTATAAAAGGATCGAATTTTAGCTTTAAAAAACGCTGAACCTATATATTTTAATTCGAAAAAATACCTTGAATGCCTTAATATCAACTGTCGAAAAAAAAACAGTTCTGGGCAAGCCATTGTTTTTTGGGGAAGAATACTTTGTAACAATCATAACAAGTATTGATAGAATACATTTATTTAAATCAAACTGTTTAGTTCAGTAGCCATCAAGAAAATGTTGTTCTACCATATGCATTTGTGTACTAGTATATATTACCCATTCCTTTGTATGTAGAGTGAGTACGAACGTATGCAGTATCGCCCTTCGACACATTTGCAACAACAGCACTACTGACAGTGCTGTCCGCTTTTTTGGCGTTAAGAAAGGTGATTCCATATACAGAATTATTAATCATTAACTGAATTGAATGTAATGCAGAGTACAATCTAACAACCAACACAAAAACGTACGTTCCTGTCTTTGGACTGGTAAAAACACCAGTATGGCTGTTATATCCACTATCCTGTTTTGTCGTTAGTACATCAAATATCAGTCGTCGACCACTGGACGGGTTTGTTATCGGTTTTGACATAAAGGCGTAAAATGCAATTATTGTCGATTTAGGAGTTTCTTGACCATTTTTACCACGGAAATTTACAGTGACATCATACTGACCTCAAATTGTTTCAAAAGTCTTTTATTTTATTATTTTATTAATTCAAATGAAATGAATACTGCAAACATGATAATTTTTCTTCAATAGTTAATGTATCACGTTCGCCACTCAAGACTTTCATATAAAAATAAATGCAGATATTAATAGTAAGTTTACTAAAGCCTAACATTGTATTTTTTCATTCTCAACTGTCATCTACTCAAGTGACGGAACCATTGAAGTTGATACGCAATTGACCCCGGTAAAAGTAGAATGATTTATCGGTGTTCCAACTGTCTGTATCACTCTCCTCATCTCTTCATAAAATTGCATATCACGGTTTTGTGACATCAACTAACTTTGACCCGGACATATCGTCGACGTCATAATGAACGAACCGACGTTAATAAGTCTGACTCGAACTTATCAAGTCATTTTCCGGTTTGCTGGTGAAACAAAGAAAACAATTGTTTCTATCCTGCAATATACACAAATACTATCCGATATATCGATTATCAGATTTTCATCATATTTACATTGTAAAATATCAGCTGCTCGACACAATATGAAGCCTTTTTGAACTCGTTTGCAGCGTTCACTCGAAAAAAGCTTCATATTGTGACTTGCAACTAATGTTTACAATATCAATATGCAGACAACCTGGTAACCGGTACGAAGCGGAGCGAACGAGTTCAAAAAGTCTTTAAAGTATTTTGTCGAGCAGCTGATATTTCACAGTATCAATATGATGAAAATAAATAATCGATCGTATTGATTGAATTTGATTGTGTTTTTTCATGATAGAAACATTTTTTCACCAGCAAATTGGAAGCGAAGTTGATAATTTTAGGTCAAACTTATTAAAGTGGGTTAAAGTTATCAATACCAGATCAACGTATTTGACGTCCCAAGGCCTAGAAATGCAGAGCGATAGAGGAAGAGGGAACATAAATAAATTGGATTATCGTGTAGTTTCTTGTGAGATAAACTCTTGGCTCGCAATTTGTCGGTATAACAACAATAATCAATGATCATTATTATCTAGATAATTTTCAATCTTACATTATTATACAAAGTTGAAGGTCACGCTCCTGTTCATTTATGTTGTTTTGATTTCATCTTAAATAAACTAAACATGGATACCAGAAATAAAATTTTGTACGCGTAAATTTGATTTCACTACCAGGAAGCTTAAGAGTGGTGTTACATATGAAGAGAGCCATACTAGTTCAGAAGCACGTGATATGATTTTATTAGATGGCGGGTTGTAAAACTTTAGATAACCAATTTATTTCGCTGCTTTTCTTACCTGATTCCTACTGGTATCTGCTTGGAATTATTATTTGTGGTAATAATCTAGACTTAAAAGTTTACCTACTTACCGTCTTCTGTTTGGCACGAACTTGTCGCGCCTGCAAAGGTTACCATATAAAAGGCCGCAATCTAAGAAATCAACATGCCTGTTAGAGACAGAACGACTGAAATATTCTATCGTGATCTATAATGGAACAGCTTTTTATATGTATTATATTCAAAAAATTCATGTCACTTTTGCGTGTTTATGCTATAAAATTTGATACAGAGAAGAAAAGAAGAAAATATAGATTTCCGACTTGGTTTAATACAAGCAGCCTATTGTATATTTCATTTGCATGTTGTCCCCCTGACTATTCTTGAAATATTTGCCACTTGAATTGAAACTGTCATCAACTTATTAAATTCAAAGGGCCAAAAGTGGACTTATTATCTGTTCATCATTAGTAAAAAAACATTAAGGTCATGAGGTATGATTGTCAATGAGACAATCATCTACCAAAGACCAAATAGCAAATTATCCAATTAAAATATAAAGCCTCAGCGTTCCCTAAAAGCTAAATTCGATCCTGTTTAAAGATTGTTTCAATCATGCATGCATAACTTTTTCACCCCCTCCATGCAAACACATATGCTAATGCGTGATCGTCTTATAAAAACGACCAACGACGTCTCTATGGAAAATTGATGACCCCTAGATCATGATCTCGTCAATAAATCAGGACATTCATCTCTTGTAAACTAATCACAAATCAATAATTATGATATATATTCATATTATGTTTATCATATTCATTATGATTATTATAATTATTTCTAAAACCATTATAAAAATAATATTTGCAATTATTTCTGGAAGTCCAGATAATATGATTATCGATTATTGTTAGCATTCAGAAGCAAGTCTTGCTGAAGGTCGGTAAATCTCTCCGGGTATTACGGCTTCCTCCACCAATAAAGAATAACCGCCGTGATATATGCAAGTGTACTGAAAGTGGTGTTTAACACCAACAATCAATCACTAAATCAATCAAACAATCAATCAATGCATGTTTCTTTACATCATGAACAAACAAACAAACATGATGAACCAGGGTTATGTCAAAGAACGTCTCGTCTTTTTCTAAAAGAATTCATCGGAAGATACCAAGACCTTGTTGATACATATTCCGTATCAACTTCACAAATAATATATGATGGTCTTGAAGTATACATTCTAGGTACTGACGTTGTTTATCATCTTAATTTCGTGTAATAGTACTGTTCTTTTTATTTGTTTTTGTATATTTTTAACCTTTACTGTTTAGTCCATTGTTGGTAATATACTTTTGGCGTGGCTCGGTATTTATACCTCCCGCCATTGTGTTATTGTGCTATGGTCTTTTTGTATTCTTGTCTTTCATTTTTGCTTATGTACTTTGTCTAAAGAGTGTCTATATGCCATTTTGTTTTTCTTTGTTGAAATAGTAATCTGTTGTTACATTGATTAAGATTATAACACAAAGTTGACTGCTGTGCCCCAATTTTTGACATGTTTACCTGTTATGTCTATTAATTTTGCTCACAAATTATTGTCAATATGATAGAATTCTATGCGACTGTCATACAAGTGAGAGGTTTAGCTAGCTATTATCAACCATTTTCTACATAAAGAAATACATGTACCAAGTCCAGAATATGACAGTTGATTTCCATTCGTTTGATGTGTTTGAGCTTTTGATTTTGCCATTTGATAAGGGACTTACCGATTTGAAATTTCCTTGGAGTTGGGAATTTTTGTTATTTTACTTTTTATAAACAATTAAGTTTATCAGGAAAAGTGGTTCAATCGATAAGAAAGGCGAAAAAGTATAGTTTAATAAAAATTCAGAACACCAAAGCTGTATTAGAAGTAAATGTTGTTTCATTACAGTATAAGAATTGTCTATTAGTTTCAGATAAAAAAATAACCAGTTATGGAGTATGTGAGATTAATGTTGGAGTAATGTGGGCCTTTTGTTGCTCTGGTCAAGAGTTTGCTGTAAGAGGCAGAAACATTTTATTTGTTTTAAGAACTTGAGGTGAATTGGATGAATTTGATGTTAAAATGGCTACAATATTTGGTGTATAATATTTGTAAAACGCAGGAACTGCATATACTTCTTGGTCACCTGTTTTTTTCATAAGTCGATTGTTAGATGTTTTTATTCTGTATCTAATCTGCAATCTTCGATTAATTTATTTTTTGTAATTGAAGAACAATAACTCATAAAAGGAGTAAATTTGTGGTTTTAGTCAGAATTACATCGTTTAGGTCTTTTATTGCTGATCATTTAATCTATTATAGTTTATAAGACAATAGGGAAAATGTAAAGATGGCAAAACCACTTCATTTAAGGGTAATAACTCCTATAAGGGAAAGATTAGAAGAAACTGCATGTTTTCATTTTTAATCTCTTGTATTTCGAATAACTTTTATGTCTAAAGTTTCTGTAACGGATTATAATAAACTAGATACATCGCTTCTTTAAACGACTCACTATAACAGTTTTATTCGTTTATATTGAGAATAAAGTTTTGATTTTATGCTGATACATTGATGAATGATTGATTAATGTATGTTTAACGTACAGTGGTATATATGTACATAAACCAATAAAACTGTTATGGTAATTGTTTAAAGGAACGATGTGTCGTTGATAATGTGAACAAAACGGATGGATTGAACAACAAATATTTATTAAAATGATGACATATAAATTTTTATAGGAGCGGTTGAAGAGGGAAATGATTCTTTTAAAGACGATCTGTGGATTTTAATGTCAAATGAGAAACGTTTATAAGTCCTTCATCAATTTTGAATATGCTAATCAAGAGGGAAAGTCCATGAGAGAATGACATGATCTCCAAGTAAAACGAAACCGAATTCATCTTCATTGTACGTAAGAAGAGTCTCTCTCCTGCTATGCATGTATTTCCAACTAATTTTTCATTAGCCTGCTGGAGGAGATATAGTGTTTGAGCACATCTATGTGAGGTGGGGAAATAAATAAGCATTACATTCAAACGTAAAATAGAGGAAATAAATTGCCATAATACAGAGGCACACACAAATGGGTAATAAATTTCTTTGAAGCAAATATGAATAAGTTAAAACCTAAAATAGTACGTCAAATAAAATATGCCATTTAGGAATTGATAATCACAAAAAGTAGACGTAAACAATTTAACATTCTATTGAACCCTTTTTCATTAAGGTAGATAGGGTGTCTTCCTCCATCTTGGATTTTGAATACCTGAAAACAATCGGTCTAGATCTTTAATAGAATGTGCAAATTTTGAGAGTAGTAGGTAATTCATGTGTAAGAATTTTCATTTCAATATAGAAAATGACATGTTTTATCATATTTATGGTTGTATTTTACAAAAAACAGAAAACTTTTGTTTGATTCAATTTTTTCCAACTTTGCTACATAAGGGGAGGCAACTCAAATGTAAGGGAAGATAATTCAGATGAAGGTACTTTTACAATAGAATGTGTTAGAAATTTACCTATGTTATTATGTAGCAAGAAAACGGGTCCGGTGACCCCATTTTTTCTTTTTCTTATCTGAAAGCATACTATTAAATCTATCTTCTCATATTTTATATCAAAATTCTATGGTGTAGTTTTCGTTTTGTGGCAGAAAATTGGGTTTTCCATGCATAATCTATACAAAATCTGTTAATTTTGAACAACCTGTAGCGTGAAAATAAGCCCCGTGACCCATTCTTTTTATCATTTTTTTTTAAAAAGCTTGATATAAACTACATTTTGGCAAATTATTAAAAAATTCTATGGATTATAATTTAGACACCCCATCTACCTTAAGAGGACAAAATAAATGTTGCGAAGTCGTCCCAAGAATGATATACAAGTGAAAGGTAAAGCTAGCTATAAAACCTGGTATAATTTACCATTTTCTTCATAAGTTAATGCCTGTACCAAGTCAGGAATATGACAGTTGTTTTCCATTCGATTGATGTGTTTGAGCCTTTGATTTTGCCATTTGATAAAGGACTTTCCGATTTGAATTTTCCTTGGAGTTCGGAATTTTTGTTATATTTTACTTTTTATAAACAATTAAGTTTATCAGGAAAAGTGGTTCAATCGATAAGAAAGGCGAAAAAGTATAATTTAATAAACATTCAGGACACTAAAACTGTATTAGAAGTAAATGTTGTTTCATTACAGTTTAAGTATTGTCTATTAGTTTCAGATAAAAAAAATGTTGGAATAATGTGGTCCTCATGTTGCTCTGGTCAAGTGATGAAGAAGGTACAGGCGATTTCAATAAATAGATAAATACATCATAAACAGAAATTAAAATATGTGAATCAAAGGATTTGTCTGAGTTAAAGCTGAATTAAATGACATATGTCGTATAATTCTAAAGAAACTTCTTGAAACCTTACTTAGCACAGTATAATGATTTACAAGGATAATATACCTTATTGAAGTCTTGAAGGATGATCTGTTTGGTCTGTCCACTGTTGGTATCTGTAGTCTGGTTGTAATATGCAAAACCTTTGTTATAATCAACAGATAATGAGCTAGATTCCTGCCGAAGAAGAAAAGAGATATCCTACTATCTTATTTCATCAATCTAAGTTATATTTTTTTCTGCAGAAATAAATCATGAATAGTCCAACAAATATCCTTGCAAATGATTTAATAAGTGGCTCCTAGAAGCCCGAAACTCCGGCCTGGTAAAAATGTATAACAATGATATAAAAATAAGAAGAACGATGTGGTATAATTTCAAATGAGACAGCTATCCATCAGAGAACAAATGACACAGATGTCAGCAACTAAAGGGTACCGTACGGCCTTTAAGCATGTGCAACACCAAAACCGTACAGTAAGCTATAAAAGGCTCCGAACTGAAAAAATGTAAAACAATTCAAACGAAAAAAAGAAGCAATGGCCTGTCTGTTTCCTATGTTAGGTCTAAAAAAACAATAAACGAAAAACAATTATGATAGACAGCGACCAACGACAACCACTGAATTGCATGATCCTTACTTGAGGAAAAAGCAAAATAACAAAAATACCGAACTCCAAATGTAGAAAATGGTGGATTAAACCTGGTTTTATAGCTAGCTAAACCTCTCACTTGTATGACAGTCCCATAGAATTCCATCATATTGACAACAATGGGTGAACAAAACACACATAATAGGTAAAAATGTCAAAAATTGGGGTGTTATAATCTTAATAACTATATAAAACAAATAACTATTTCAACAACAAAAAAAATGGCAGATAGACACTATATAGACAAAGTACATAAGCAAAAATGAAAGACAAGAATACAAAAATGACCATAGCACAATAACACAATGGTGGGATGTATAGATACCGAGCCACGCCAAAAGTATATTACAAAAATGGACTAAACAGTTAAAGTTAACGATATACAAAGACAAATAAAAAGAAAACTATAACACGTAATTAAGATGATAAACAACGTTTGCAAAATCAGTTGCAGAGACAGACACACACATAATATATCGGTGTTAAACATGTTAGCGAGCACTCAATCATTCCCCTTACCTTGGACAGTCGTGTTACAGCACATCAAGCAAAACAAAACAAGAACAAACTCTAAACTGCTAAAAATCAGTAGAAAAAGGTTTGACTCGTCAGATCGACATAAAAGCACAAAAACAACTGACAAAAAGAATAAAGGCACAAAGTACTGATCTAAGAGTACTTGCAGATATTGAATTAAAATCAAAATAAGGATATGTGGTATGATTGCTAATCAATCAACTCTCCACCAGAGTTTAAATGACGAAGATAAAAGCAATTATCGGTCACCGCACGGCCTTCAACAACGAGAAAACCCAAATATAGTCGACTATAAAAGGCCCATACATGAAAAATGTAAAAAAATTCAAACGAGAAAACTAACGGCCTTATTTATACAATTCAATTTATGGAAAAAAAATACGACAGACATGGACCAACGACAACTATTCAACTACATGCTCCTAATTTGGAACAGGCACATAAATAATGTGGCTTGGTTAACATGTTTATAAGAGCTCAGCCCTCCCACTAACCTGGGACTGTGGAGTACATGACAAATAAACACAAACTGTAAAAATCAGTTGCAAATGGCTTATATCAATAAATCGACACAAAGCACAAATAAACCAATTAACGTAAACACAACAGACACAAAGCACCGATATAAGTGTACCCGCAGTTATTGAAAGCTAGTACAAAGCCAATTACAACTAAAAAATAAATCATGTTTTCCCAGACTAAAGTATCAATCAGTACACATCCTACTGATTTAGTGTACAGACATCATAAACAGTCTGCGAAACGCATGGCCTTGTTCCATGCCAACATATAAGTTAATAATATCGACAGGATGTAGGATCATGATTACCGATAACTGTACATATATAGCAATATATATTTAGTTCTGTTTTAATCTATCAAAAACAAAATCTATGTTAGTAACGATAAAAACTACATTTAAAGGTTTCAGTACGGTGTTAAATTGATAACCTTTAAGAATAAGTTTATTTCAAGGATCAATGAGTTTATATGGATCGTATCTAAATTGACCGGCTTTATAAACAATATCACTGTAAAATTTTGAATGTGATATCCCGTTTTCAATCAGAATTCTAATGGTACAGCCAAACTTCCTAGCTAAATCTATGTTTCTATGGAAGAATTTAGTAAAGTTTTAATTAACTTGTGGTAACGAAATCCCTAAGTTAATAATTCAACAGTTAAACATAAATTACGTTCATTGAAATCTAAAACGCGACTACAGACACGGACATAGCGAACAAGTTGTGAAATATATTCACTGTAAGAAGGGTTCAAAGGAACATCATCGTCCAAAAAGGGAAAATTAACAATAGGGAACGAACAATCGTCTCGTTTGTCGTAAATTCTTGTAAATAGAAAATTCATTATTAATTAAAGCAAAAATTTCATCAAGTTAACAGTAAGTGAAAGCCTGTTTAAATAAAATCATTAGCAACAGTGGAGATCATCTTTCACAATCTAATATAAGAATAAGAAGCTATGATAACTATAATTTTCAATGAGATTATTACCCACCAAAGATCAAAAGTAAAAGAATTTGAACAGCTACAGGTCACCGTAAGTAAGATTGTGACCAGTGTTGATCTACATCCACTTACAAAATATTTTAAAAAAAATGGTCAAGTCAATTAAGGTCAAAAAAAAAATAAAGTCAATGAACGATCCACACTTTTTTTCTTGTGAAAACAGTTGCTCTCCATCTATAATTATAGGTTTCAGAATAACTGCAAAAAGGCAAAAATTGATAAAAATTGTCATGTAAGGCCAATAACTCATATAAGAGTCGACTGACGATTCCGGCGATCGGCGATGTTTGACTAATTTGAAGATGTTTCCATGCTTGTTACTTTTGCTGTTTAAAGTTTTTTTTTTTTATATAGATTATAGCTTTCATGATATTAGACGAAACGAAAAAATAGGGGGAAATTGGCATTTAAGAACAATACCTCTGATAAGAAGTCGACTGACGATTTCAGTCATGTTGACTTAACTTTTAGATCTTCTCAGTTTGATGTGTTTCTTTCTTTATAGTATAGGATTTAAAAAACAGCTAAAATCACAAAAATGGGTAAAACACGTCATTAAAGGTCGATAAGTCTTTTATGGGGTCGAGTTCTCATATTGCTGACATTTTCTTTCTACTTACGGTTTGCTTTGTCTATGAAGAGTCGACTGATAATTTTGTCAAAATAAACAGTTACTGTAGTCAAATATTTTGAAAATATTGTTGTTTAAAATTTAAATGATCATAAGATAATAGCCAAGACACATGAAATAAGTATAAATCGTCATTGAAAGGTAATAACTCCCCAAAGGAGTAGACGGACTATTTTGGGAAAGTTTACTTTTCCGTAGATTTTATTCTGCTGGTATTTTTTACTCTTTTAAAGTTTTTCATGATATATCTAAATCAGTTTTCAAGATAATATCCATTCAGAGGCAATAACTCAAAAATGGGTGGTCCGATTTTTCTGAACTTTTCAATGTGACTTTTTGATCAACTTTTCATTGCCAGTTTTTCTCTAACTGCTTCATTTTTTTAACATATTAGCCAACACTACAGTTTAAGCCCTATGTTTTATTTTTAGCAACGGCGGCATTGTTTATTGATGAGCCAAATCTCGAGATAAAATTTACAAACTAGATCCCTTATGAACATTCAGCTAAAGTTTGGTTTATACTTTTGGGGACAGTAGTTGAGATATTTTTTGTATTAAAGTTTATGACGACGAATGACGCCAAGTGATAATAATAGTTATGAATTAAAATCGAATGACTGAACAGATTAAAATATGGTAGCAATAAACTAAGGCACAGGTAAAGAGTAGACGGATTATTCATTAGATGTTCACTTTAACTATATATATTTCGACCTGTGACTCTAATAGAATAAACAATAAATACGTATACTAACCTCTTCATAAATAACAGATCCATTGTTCAGTGTGTGAGAAGATGTTTGGTAAGTCCATCCTTCCCATTGCTTTGGGAAACAACAGCACAAAACAGAACCCAAAAATGAAAGGAAAATCAAGTATCCAAACATTTGTACAAAAGTACACTATATTGTCTGTATAGAAATGAAAAACACCTGCAATAATTTAAAAGCTATCATATCAGCAGAAATGTTCGATATTCCTTGTTATAAATGAAGATTAGATATAATGGTGGTATACCACATGATGTGATAGGCCGTACTAGGTAAAAAAAACACAAACCTTTGCACTAGAAATCGATCTGTCATTTGTCAATAATTGATATGTAGATTAAAGTAATATTTCAAAACTATTTTTTGACGATTTGAATTAAGATATGACCACCATAGTGGAACATAATAAAGCCATGCAATAAAATACATCTTCTTGAATGATGGTGCCTATCCGCAAACAAAGGTTACTACAGTGGAATATTAGATAAACATACAATCATACTGGAAATCCGTACAAATAGCTACTCTCTAAACCTTAGAACATAACCAAAGTTATATTGAATAAATGAGACTATCAGGGTTCGACAGTAAAAGCTCCTCTGATTTGTAGAGATAATTGAAAGTCATCATTGGGCAAATAAAAGCTGCAGTGTTATGAGCAAGTAAACATTAAAAGTAAATATAGTGGAAATACAGTTTAGTTTAATTTAGTTTCAACATATTTTATTCGCTCAAAGCAAAAAAGTAAAACGTGCTTATGAAGTGTTCTCCACATTACAATATATATATAACAATACAAATTGAATGTGAGCATGCAGTATATAATATAAACAACATAAATATTACTAAACTGTACTAAAAAAAGAAAGGGGTAAAGAAAGAACGACAGAGATTACAGAGATAAGGATGATAATGATAATGATGATAATGTGCGTTTTGCCTATGTTGATATTATTCCACGAGGAATCTTTTTGATATATTTATAAAATTTAAGACTTGTAGCCTACGAGAAGCCAGCTGAGAGCGTTAAACAGAATAGCCCTTTCATTTAAAAAGAAAGGATAATCAAAGTAAAAATGTCGCATGTCCTCAATATCCAATCCACATTAACACTGCTACATGTTGGATCAGATATAATGTTAGCTCTAAATAAGTCACAATTCAAGAAAGACGCCGAGCATCTAAATTGGGTGAAGATTATATTCAATTTTCTAGAATCTAGTCTATGTGGTTAATAATTTAGCCCTCAGAATATCTACAAATTTATGATTTTTAGTATTTTCACTTTCTAACATAGTTTATTAAAGAAAACTCAGCCGCAGAAGACTGCGTAACAGGAGCATATCATACACAATATTAATTACAACATAGTTCATAATACAAACAGTATACATTGTTGAATTATACATCTTCAGAAATAAGTCTTTGTTAATTACAGTTTTAAATTAGACAAGCATCTTTTCTACCTTTTGAATAAAAATTGACAGCTTAGACAGCACATTACTATTACAATATTTAAGCATGCCTAGTACTTTTTTTACATTTGGATATTTTAAATAATATGGAGGTATGAACTTCCCCCTTAAATCCTTAACTTCACAATTGGTACATTTACATATATAGTGGTATACATCCCCAAGACCAGCTTTACAAAGTGGACAAATTCTCTCATTTCGCGGTACATTTCTCCATCTTCCTGTTTCGATGGGAAACTTTGTATTGCATACCCTTAATTTACATATATTTACTCTATGACCCCGCCTTAATTTTAACAGATATGGTTCTACGCAAAACTCTTCCTTAAAGTGTAAATAACCCCCCCCCCCCCCCCCCTTGATGAGTTGTTTATATCAGAGAACCATTTTTGAATAAAAAGGTCTTGGAGACGCCGCCTTACATTACTTTTAATATAATTATAATCAACTTGCCCCGGAATATTATATAATTCACAAAAGCCACAATCATTAAACACAGATTTTACATAGTTAAACCACTTGAAATTATAACCTTCATGCTCATGCATGTACCAAAGTAACTTATACAGTTTACCCGATAGTTTTTTTATCATTTGTTGCTATCTTGTGCCAAAAACATACCATTTTTAACTTGATCTGCAGTTCAAGTGGACATTTTCCAAGTTCCCCATATACCATAAAATTTGGCGTAGATGATCGCACCCCCAAAATGCGCTTACAAAACTGTAGATGTAATTTTTCAGTATTATTTTTATTTTCAAACCCCCATATTTCCGAGGAAAAGGTCAAAATAGGAACCACCAATGCATCAAATAATTTTAACTGTAAATCAATCGGAAGTGAGATATTTTGTATCTTCTTGTAAAGAGAATAAAGTGCTTTTTGAGCTTGGTCTACCAATTTTTTCCGAGCTTGAAAGAAATTTCCGTTGAAATTAAACAGCAGACCAAGATAAACATATGAATCTTTAATTTCAATAATTTCATTACATAGTTTAAAAGTAACATTCTTATTAAACTTTCTCTTCGAAAAAATCACAATCTTTGTTTTTGATACATTTTAATAACAGTGAGTTTCCACTCAAAACAATATTGCTCAAACACATCCAGAGCCTTTTGTAACCCTTCTGCCGACTCCGCAAAAATAATTGTGTCATCGGCGTACAGAAGAATAAATAACTTGATATACAAATCAAGATTCTCTGTAATTTTTTCATTTATAAATTTTAGACCATCCACAGAGTTTTCATCCAGATATTCCTCCAAGTCATTCAGGTATAAGGCAAAGAGAAAGTGTGACATCTTTTCTCCCTGTCTTACACCTACCTCACACGGGAAAAAATCTGTTTTTTAGTTCTCCATTTTTAACACAAGACTTAATATCTGTATACATGGTCAAGATAATTTTAAGCATTTTCCCACCAATGTTATATTTTAATAGTTTTTGCCATAGTCCCACTCTCCACACTGTGTCAAAAGCTTTTCTATATTCTACAAAAGCGCAAAATAATTTCTTTCTCGAACTCAAGTATAGTGAAATTAAAGCATGCATGACAAACATACTATCTTGCAGTTGGACAGAATACCCCTTTCGAAAACCACCCTGGGCATCAGTTATAATCCCGATCTCGTCTGACAGAGCATTAAGTCTTGAATTAAGTATAGAGGTGAACACTTTTCCTAAATTCGATGTAAGACAAATAGCTCGGTAATTATCCAAATTATTTGGATCCCCCTTGTTTTTAAATAACGGCTTACTGATACCAATAAGCCATGAATTTGGAACGATTCCAGATTCAAACACTAAACTGAATAACTTAGTGTAAATAGGCAAAAATTGATTCACCGTGCTTTTTATATATTCGTTGACAATCTCAACTTCCCCTGGGGCTTTACCATTACTTAATTTTTTAACAGCTGACAGTATTTCGTCCTCTGTAATTTCCTGATCTATAATTTCAATAACACCCTGACTTTTTATGCTATTAGCTAATTTCTCATAATCAATATCATCATCTGGAACATCGCTCTTATTTAATGACTTAAAATACTCATATACAACTATATACAGTTTTCAAATATTGGCCAATCAGAGTATGATTCTGTTGTTGACGCACTATTTGATAAACCAATCAGATTAGACTTAGATATTTTAGAGAAATTATCCGAGACACATCAATATAAATTCAAGATCACCTTTATACATGTATCATTGATTTTCAAAAACCATAACAAAAGTGAAATAAAGGAAGATTGAGAAATAAATAAATACATGTATATAAGTTTAGACCTATAAATGTGAATGAGCTTTCTCAAATTTCAGCACAACTTTATTTAAGGGAAGGGTTTCTGAGGGTAAATTTATACCAGAGTCCCATCTGTAATGATCCCAGATTAAGCACAGGAGCCTTGCAAAACAGTTTTATTTCCAGTGTTGTGTTTTCATTGGATAGATGGATGACATTATGTTCAAAAATAACATTCCGGAGCCACTATAATATAAGATGACACGGCTGCTGACTCTTGGGAAATTTTTCAGAAGAATACCAAAAAAAAACTGAAAATGAATTTTACAAGATGTTATGTTCTTGAATATGACACTAAAGAAATTTCAGAAGCAAATACAAAGTTTAGACAAGTGTTTGTCTCTTTAGGACAAGTAATATGCCATATGTTTAAAAAGTTAATGTTGAACCCTGTAGTCGGGATTCCACTTCGTCAAAATCATCTTCCCATTTCGTCACCTAATGTTTTCAATTGCGAAAATGGAAGCCATTGCAGGGATGACACGCTGTCAATTTAGCTCTTGAAAACCAATAAATGTATTGGCATAGCATCATTACTATCCTTACATTATAGTTGTATTTTAAAAGACAAGTACACCTTCTATCTGTTAACATCATTTAATGTACTTTTTGGCCTTTTGTCAACTAAAAACTATTGTCTGATCGGTTGGCAGGGGGATATTCGAAAATTAGAAAAAAAACTCGAAATAAATTGTAATTAAATATTTCGTGGAAGGGTACACTAATTTTTTTCAGAGGTTGAAGACTAGTAACCCGCGATAACACACTCAAAAATTGATTTTTTTTAAGAAATGCACAAATAAGATCCACAGGTAAAGTTTGTCGTCAAGTGCTTTTAGTAAAAATTTGCTATTGAAAAACACCTACTCTGTTTTTATGACTCATTAGAAAGGTATTTCACTTGACCCATATATTTCTTTTTTTTTGTACTTTGAATTATTAATGTTATTATATAAACATATAGCCTAAATATTTAAAAGTGATGGAATCTGAAGCGATATGATGTATCAAATAGTTTTGCTTTATATTTTTTCAAGACAACATAGTCAAGTCAAACACGCCTGCACATGAATAAATGTACCCGACCTTTTCTTTTCGATGAGATTATTGCCCATGTTTAGGATTTTTTTACCAAAAAAACTGTAGCTGGTGGGCAGAGGTGCAAATTAATGCTTTAAAAATATCAATCTTTTATCTTTCTATGGAATTTTTTCGGTTGAATTTATGCTTAATCACAAAAAACGATCAATATGTATTTGCACTTACTATATAAAAGTTTACAAATATCTCGAAGCTCCGTTCGAGGTATAACCACGTATATAAGATACAAAAATTCCGAAATTATGCACTTCATTAAACTTTTAAATCCCATAGAAACAGATGTAAACAATTCAAATATACAAACTTTTCCAATTTTTACCTTCTTTGATAAAGAGTTCCATTTCTTTTGTTTAATTTCAACTGGATATCAGCCTGCCTGCGCTTTCCTAATTTTGAGCTTTTGCTACTTGTCTAAAAATCCAAGATGGCTGTCACTGTGGAACACAGTTTGGTATAGGGCTTTACGGGGGGAAACATAGAAATAAATCAGAAAACATCTTGTAGGGCACAACCAATGCATAAACTCAGTGGAAAAAACACTGTCAAACATATTAACACTAATAAACCAATTACTTTCAACAATGATCTGTGACAACAATTGCACTCTTATATATTTTTAGTTTTATAGCTAACTGTGTAACCCTCTTTAATTAAAGAATTATTATTATTATGTTCCGGACCATATGAGTATTTGGACCATACGCATATGCATGACCATATGCGTTTATACTCATATATATATATCAGCTATTTACCAGTGCGCTTGTTAAGGTGGGATCTTGTTTAGAATCATATCTTTATTATGTGGATACTGTTACAGTCGTCCCCGAGTTATGTTGTGGTCGGCCGACGAACCTATGTGATAAACAGGCCATGAAGCGTGAAACAACAAGCCGTTATTTTGGACACAAATTAAACAGGTTTCTTGCAAAGTTTTGCATTGTTTGAAATGTTTTGGCATTTCTGCTTTATTTCACGTTTGCTCTGTCATATTAAAATGTTATGTTAGATTTTTTATTTTTTTCTCGGGTGGAAAAGATATCTATGTACAATACATAGCTCAGTTTAACGTCATATAGTATGTATAAGTATTTTAGATAATTAAAATTATAGCTATGATTATGTAATTCTCATATTTCTCCTAAATTGACCAGTTTGGAATCGGCACAAGTATGATTGTATCATCCTTTGGTAAATTTGCTGACGGTTTTGGTTATTCCTTTAAGTATAAACATGTTATATAGTCCTGCCACTGTATCTGCTGATTGATAAGTTATGTGCGGATATCAGCTGTCCATGGCCAGTATTGGCAGTGCTTCTGTATTGGCATAATTGAAATTATACTGAACGTGTATTTTCAGTTCATACGTAATGCAACTATACTTAATCTTAAACTTACGTTCACATTTTGTCTCTAGCTTACCTAAAGAAATTTATACCAGAAAAAAACCTTTGAGGCTGGTCATGAAATCATTAGAAATTCGGAAAAATTTGTATAATGAAATATATTTTTATAGTCCCAAAAATTCAATAAATTATTTGTTTCATTGTATGTCTATTTCATTTTATTTCATTTTCAATTTTTTAGACTCTGACCGGCTGAAATATAGATAAAATAAAACAAAAATCCACTGTGACCTGGATGTAATATATTGTACCTTGTTTCTTGTTTAATTAAAAAAAAATCATATAGATTGTGAAAATTTTAATGTCACCGTTTTTTTTTTTTTGCTATTAAATGTTGTCTTTGATTAATTAAATGGTATGGAAATCAATATGTTTTTTTTAAATATGTTTTCAAAGTACAGACGAATATTAAATCATCAAACCATGTACTGTCTTTTGTGTCACAAGTTATAAAATCGATGGTCGCCACTTTCATTACGGATCACATCCATATCATTTCCGATGGTACTTTCCGTTTATAATTTTTACAAAAGGTCAATTTTGAGAACAAAGAAATCAACAAAAATGCACTTGTGGAAGTTCAATGTTGCACATGTCAAATAGTAGAACATTTAGCAGATAAGCAGAATCACTTTTTCATAATAGTAGTTATTTTATTGATGACGTTTACCGGTTATTGGATTTGGAACATTTCTACAGTTGTTTTCCGTATACCAGACATTCTGTAAACGAAAATTTTAAGTCTCTGGAATGGGTTTATTAATTAGATTCGTAAATCGAACTGCTTACCTCAGATATGGTAATTTAAACTATTTTAAAAGAACTCTCGGAAATTTTAGAAGTATTGGAAGTTCAGTTAAAGATGATACTGCCAAAGAATCATCCCCAGCTCCAAAGCCTGATTTACCTGATTACAACACGCCTATTGATGTAGAATCTCACAAGTTGACAAGACCAAAGTCAAGACCACGAACAGTTGCTCCCTCTGTCTCTGGAAAATGGATTGGTCTTGATGCTCTGGCAGAAAGGACAAAAGTGAGTCTGAAGATATGCTTATGTTATGTTGCAAGTTAATCTATAGGTCAACATACAGCATGTACTGTCCAACAATAATAGTGTGCATACAGTAATGTGTTTTGGTAAGGTGACATATATTCCTGTAAACTGCTACCTTGTGAACGTAGTACATGAGAAATCCTGCTTAGCATATCAGTTTAATACAAGGCAGTGTTCATATATATATTCCCACCTTAACCATGTTCCTGTCTCAGTGATATGCGTGAATGGTTTTACACTAGTAATTTTTGGGGCCCTTTATAGCTTATTGTTCGGTGTGAGCCAAGGCTCAGTGTTGAAGACCGTACTGTGACCTATAATGGTTAACTTTTATAAATTTTAACTTGGATGGAGAGTTGTCTCATTGGCACTCATACCACATCTTCTTATATCTATGTAATATTTGCCATTGGATGTTTAATACCAATCCCTCATCATCAACTTGTTTTTTAGCAACAAAAACAATCTCACTTTTTATCTCAATTAGTTGAAAAACAAAAGTTACATATATCATGTACAGTAGTGTACATCAATGTACAAAATGTACATGTAGCTATAGAAAGAAACATACAACAGTGGTGAAATTGAAATGTACTTATACACACTCAAACATAAAAGACAACCAAAGATTAGTGCAGGAAAAATAAAATATGATTCAATACTTTTTTTACTGAAATCATGCTTGGTGTACATGGGTGTAGTACTTTTAAAACCTTTTTGTACCCCGTGCAACGCGTTGTGGGGGACATAGAAATACCGTCCGTCTGTCCATCCGTCCAGTCTTGTTAGCGCTCTCATGTGTACAATTCTTGCCAAATTTTTATGAAACTTATATTATAGGTTTATATCAGCAATGTCTTTGACGAGATCTAAAAACAGTGCCGATCAATGATTTTTAAAAGAGTTAGGCCCCTTGGAAACATTAATTATATGGAAAATTGCATCATTAGCGCTCTCATTTGTTCAATTCTTGCCAGATTTTTGTGAAACTTATATCATAGGTTTATATTAGCAATGTCTTGGACGAGTTCGAAAATCAGTGCCAAACAGTTATTTTTAAAAGAGTAATGTCACTTGGAAACATTGATTATATGGAAAATTGCATCAAGCGCTCTCATGTGTTCAATTCTTGCCAGATTTTTATGAAACTTATATCATAGCTTTATATCAGCAATGTCTTGGAGAAGTTCAAACATCAGAGCCGATAAATTATTTTTAAAAGAGTTATGCCCCTTGGAAACATTAATTATATGGAAAATTGCATTGTTAGTGCTCTCATGTGTACAATTCTTGCCATAATTTTATTCTCATATGTTCAATTCTTGCCAGAATTTTATTCTCATATGTTCAATTCTTGCCAGAATTTTATGAAACTTATATCATAGGTTTATATCATCAATGTCTTTGACACTTTCAAATATAAATTCTGATCGAATATTTTTAACGAGTTGTGCCCCTTGGAAATATTAATTATAATGGAAATCACATTGCATTTGCTTTGAAGCCTTCATTTCTCTAAGATATTAATAAAAAAATGCATTTTTGAGTTATTGCCCTTGTACCTTGGGTAGATAAAATATGTGCAACGCGGGGTACATTAGAAAAAATGTAGAATAACAAAAATACCGAACTCCAAGGAAAATTCAAATCGGAAAGTCCCACATCAAATGGTAAAATCAAAAGCTCAAAGATATCAAACTAATGGAAAACAACTGTCATATTCTTCTGTTCTTGTATTATATGCTGTTGGGCTGTCAACCCTATACAGAGGCGGATTTAGAGGGTTTTTCAAGGGGCCCTGGCCCCCCTTTTGAGGGAAAAATTTGGTTGATTATTTAGGGAATCACTGAAGCATGACTGGAGCGGGCCCCCTCTTACGCAGTCAGTGGTCCCCCCTTATGAAAATTTCTGAATCTGCCACTGCTATAATCTAATATCAACATCTTTACTTTGATAATGATTTTATACAGCAACATCATGAACAGTGCATAAAAACACAATCTTGTACAATGTCTAAAGTGTGCAGAATTTCAATACAAAAAAAAACTATTCTATTCTTGTTTCTGGGTTATATCCTTTTTCAGAGTTATTCACTCATAAATAAGCAAATTAATATTAGTCCCCAAAAATACTAGATGCATGATTCAATTAAACAGAATACATATAATTTTTATTATCAAATATTAAACCAAGAGGATTGAAATATTTTCTTTATGTCCTAAAATGTAATAAAAAAAATTATACAAAGACTTGATAAACAAGCTACACTTTACATCTGATTTTTGGTATTCAGCATTTTTAACATGTGCTGTATACATTTAGATGATTTGTAAACATTCTCTTTTTTGAATTAGCAAACATACTTTTGTTACACATATAGGCATTTTGTTGTAAGGATATATATGACATAATATACATGACTGGTAAAATACAACCCATTTTGTATTTTACAGGAGTTTTAGGTGCACACAAACTTCCCAATTGCCTACATTTGTATCTAGATCATATGTTCGAAAAGTAAAGGAACTTTTCTGCATTAACCTTCATTAGAATGCTCAAAACTAAAAATTTGAAAGCCAGGGATGTATAAATACTTGAGAAGTAAACAGTATACGATCAAAAGTGATCTAAAAAAATAATACACATTTAAAAAAAACCTGCCCATTCCAGTTACTAACAGAATGATAGTTAAAATTGAACAAGGAAATAAAAGATGGTACATGATTTGAGAGCATGGTCAACATATGCTTTCTACTACAGAAGGCTACAAATATTTAAAACAATATGTCATTGACTACTGACTGACATGTTTGCAATGTCTACTATCTTTTAGTTAGCACTTGAAGTCTTCACAATTTACTAGAAAATTATGTACATGAATAAAATGTATAATACATATAAACATTATCCGTCTTTAGAAGTTCTGACAATTTTAGATACTAACTGACCTCTAACAAATACTGATTTTTAAATGTTACGAGGTCATGAAGGATTTAGCAGGGATATAAAGGTGTAACCCATCCCCTTTAATCTGAAAAAAAATCCTTTTATAACATGAAATCGTTAACAATATTTAGCCTCGCTAGGCTCAACGATTTTTTTTTTACCATTTTGGACAATTACACTATCCATTACCTCGAACCCTGGATCAGCCTTATGAAACCTGTTAGGAGTGTTGTTTTGAATTTTTTTTCTGATTTGTTTTGTTTCTTGGGTAACAGCAGTATTCAAGCAATAGCTGTGGCTACTTTAGATTTATGAACTCTGTTTCAATTCCTCATTATACTATCCTAAATTAAAAAAAACAACGGTCATGTTAAATCATTTGAAATCCAAAACCGTTCTTTCACCTTTCATTGAATCAGGAATACTGTTCCCAGGTTGAATTCAACAATTTCCAATAATGTTCTATACGGGTTTTGCCAATCAAATGGGCTGCCTTTTGGAAACATTATATAAGGAAGCTTTTACATTTCTAAAAAAAATCCAAATTTATTTAGTTTTGCATTTTGTAACCACTCGTATAATAAAGGAGGAGCCTGATATTTTGTTTATCTTCATGTACTTTTTGTGTCTCGCATGTGACGAGTATAACAAAATCAGAGAGCTATATTTTAATTAGATTGGCGACGAAATTCGTAGTTTGCGAGACATAGGGATTATTGTCTGATGGCGTAAACTATTTGGATAAAGCTTTATTTATATATCAGAAGTTAGAAGACCTGGATGCTTTTTCCTTTTTAGCAGATACCTTATAGTACGAAGTTTCCGCCTTGTCACATATCCATTGTCCTTGACCTCATTTTCATGGTTCAGCGATTGCTTGAAGAAAATTACACTTATTTTGTCATGTGAATTTCTCACTTAAAATGAGTAATAGGATAACTATATTTGGTATATCGGTGTCCTGTCCTCATTTCATGGATCAGTGAGCATTGTTAATTATAAAGCTACGCGATTAGGTCAGTATCTCAGGTATTTAAGCATTAGGTTAAGTTTTTGTGTTTTGGTCGTTTTTTTTAGTACTTATAAGACATAGGTCAACTTTGTTTCATGTATAGAATGATTGTAAGGTGTACATGTTAGTCTAGTCGGTATCTTCTGACCTTGACCTCATTTTCATGGTTCATTGGTCAATATTAAGTTTTTGTGGTTTTGGTCTGTTTTTCAAATGGTAATAGCAATAGCTCCGCTTTATTTGGTGTATGGAATAATTGTAAGGTGTACATTTTTGTACATGTCTGTCTGGTAGGTAGCATCTGACCTTGTGGTTTGGTCTGTTTTTTCAATTATCATAAGCAATAGGTGAACTATATTTGGTGTATGGAATAATTGTCAGATGTAGATGTTCATGTTTGTCTGACAGGATTTATCTAACCTTGCCCTCATTGGCATGGATCCTTAAACATGTTAAGTTTATGTGATACTTGTAGTAAAACCTTTATCTTTAAGACTTTCAGCATCAAATCAATTGTCAGTAAAGCAGGCGAGACATTTCAGCGTGTGCATTCTTGTTTTAATTTGTACTACAATTTAGATTATTGATGTACATAAAAGTTTTAATAAAATTATTTTAAGTTAGACAAAAGAAATATTTTCCTCAAAACATGTAGTCCAAATAACGTTTAACAAATTAGATACATGTATCATCGCATAATAGATCAAACTTTTGGTAGACGGACAATACATGTTTAACTTTATGTTTATTGGTCCCCATTCAGTTGAAATATATTTACAATTACTATAGGGGTCATTGATTCCGGACACGTTAAAAGAAATGGAAAATGACCCTGACTTCAAACTTACAGCTGAGAAACTGAAAAAAATAGGCCAAAAACAAATGACAAAAGATGAGAGAAAGAAAAGACAAAGAGCTCTTGATGACCTTGGTGTTCCAAACTTTGTTCAGTTCTGGAAACAAAAGGCCGAAGAAAAGACAGGTATGAACATTGAATTCTGAAACTAGTGTTAATGGAAGGTACATTTTGTATATACGTTGTCTGAAATACAGTGACTGCTTACCCATAATATGATTGAACAAGCTACGGTTTGAATGGTTTAAAATAGTTGGTATTCCTTGACCTATTTAGTATGAACATAATATAAAGATTCCAATTACGAAAGGAAACTGCTTATCTTCAAATCATTTATAGACGTTTTCTTGGTGAAAAAAGTTATGACGATCATTCCCGAATAAAATTGATTAATTTGTACAATTATCCGTATTATAATAAAAGTATAGAGTTTCACAAAACAAGCTCGCTTCACATAGGAAAACTTGTGTTTTTAATTGATCTTTTAATTTTAGATTTATTCTGAATTTAACTAATCGTTTAAGAGAGGCAAAAGATATCAAAGGGATATTCAAACTCATAAGTCGAAAACAAAACTGACAATGCCATGGCAAAAAATGATAAACACAACAAGGAAAACTAAAGACTGAGCAACACGAACCACACCAAAAACAGTGGAGGTATCAGATGCTCCGGAAGGGTAAGCATATCCTGCTCCACATGTGACACCCGTCGTGTTGCTCATGTAAGTACAAACCCGGCGATAAGTCTAATTCGGTTGGTCGAATCCGAGGAAAAGAGGACAGGATTGTGGTTACGGCAATCGGATAATACAATTCATCATCTGTGAAACAGATATTCCATAACGGTCAACCAACTCGTGAAATTATTATTGATGAAAATTATGAAAATATTATGATAAAGTGTAATATCTGGTTAAAGGTGTTTTGGAAAGATTATCATATAGAGTCACATGAACGTAGTGTGTTCCTACACATGTGTGTCTTGCTAGCAGGAAATATTATTTGTACTAACAAATTTTAAGTATTTAAACATTGCATATTTTATAATTCAGGAGTTCGACCGTCGACCCTAACAAGAAAGCATTGTGAACAAATGCAAATCAACATAGGCCTATATTGTAACCAGGCTTGCAATCACTGCCATGTTGAATCATCACCAAAACGGAAAGAAATGATGGACCATAAAACTGCTGTCAAATGTATGGAGATCTTGGAAAACAGTCCGTCTGTAACAATACTGGATTTAACAGGTAAAACCTCTTAAACGATGTGGTGATATCTTGGAAAACAGCCTGTCTGTGACAATACTGGATTTAACAGGTAAAACCTCTTAAACGATGTGGTGAGATCTTGGGAAACAGCCCGTCTGTAACAATACTGGATTTAACAGGTAAAACCTCTTAAACGATGTGGTGAGATCTTGGAAAACAGCCCGTCTGTAACAATACTGGATTTTACAGGTAAAACCTCTTAAACGATGTGGCGAGATCTTGGAAAATAGTCCGTCTGTAACAATACTGGATTTAACAGGTAAAACCTCTTAAACGATGTGGTGAGATCTTGGAAAACAGCCCGTCTGTAACAATACTGGATTTAACAGGTAAAACCTCTTAAACGATGTGGTGAGATCTTGGAAAACAGCCTGTCTGTGACAATACTGGATTTAACAGGTAAAACCTCTTAAACGATGTGGTGAGATCTTGGAAAACAGCCCGTCTGTAACAATACTGGATTTAACAGGTAAAACCTCTTAAACGATGTGGCGAGATCTTGGAAAATAGTCCGTCTGTAACAATACTGGATTTAACAGGTAAAACCTCTTAAACGAAGTTGTGAAATAATGATAACTCCCTAATATAATAGAAAAAGCTACGGTTGAATGGTTGAATATTTGGATATACTTAACCCCTAGAGGTTGGACATAGTATAAGATTCAATTTACGACGGTTGACGATACGTTTCAAATAATTTCAAATAAGACATATCAATGCAGGGATCAAACATAGGATATACAGTTTCGATCAGTTCTAATCTCTCTTTAAAACTGTCAGAATAATCTGTCGTAGAAGTGTTCGAAATATTAAATAAAGCTGTCCAAAACTGTTCTAAAGATATAACTGTCTGGATCTGTTCTAGGGAAGGACTGTCTGTAAACTGTTCTAGGGTAGAACTGTCAGAATCTATTCTAGGTTAGAACTGTCCATAACTTATTTCTTTACAGGTACGTTTGGTAGTGTAGTCGACAGGTAAAATTATTTTTGAAGTGCTATAGCATGTATTGCAGTCATCTTTCCTGTTAATGTGAATTATATTTCCCAACTCCTGACGCTTCTTTGACTGTTGGAGATTGTTATTTCTGGAATACAATCTAAATCGAAATTGAAATCATTTCCAAAAAGTTATGAAACTGTTTATAACACCACTGAAGTTTTGATTCTGGACAGAAAATAACTTTACAGATCTGAATACTTATGTTACCAACCCACGCAACTTCAAGCCAGATATCTTTAAATACAATATTTCGATGTGCCTGTTTTGCACTCACCGCTTTCATCTTAAAATAAGAATATAGTTTATTTTTATTTTTGCTTTCAGTATTTTCAGAAGAATAGGTAAAATATATGCTTAATATATATTGTGATATAAAACGCATCTCTTTTTATAACTGTTAAAAACTACATAGATGAACATTGAACATTGAACATTGATAGTGATGTTTATATAGTAGTCGAGGACATGTCTGATTATACAGATACATTGTAATGAAGCTTTTCATTGTAACAGTATACATATTATTCTAATAGTGTGATATTTTTTTTTTACCTTAATCTGATTTGAATACTGTCAATGCTATCCCCATAGTATAAAACGCTTTTATCGTAGAACATTTAATTAATGTTAAACATACTTCCGTTAAACCAGTTAAATACAATTGTAGCTTTAAGTTATTATGAACACAAACATGCTCAAAAGAAATTATCACAAATTGGTGTAAGTATAAGTTGGTATCAGGTGCTGATATCAATGGAAAACCATCGAACATTTTTCGGTTGCTTCCAACGAACTTGAGAAATGTAAAAAATAACAAACATAAAAACCAGACGAGTTTAGTTGGAAAACATGATTATTTGAAGACATTGCACAGTGATATATAGTCATTGTATATAAATACTACATCTACATGTGATCATTTGAAGACATTGCACAGTGATATATAATCATTGTTTATTAATACTACATCTACATGTTGTCATTTGCCTTAAAATTTCCAAGCAAAGAATCCAAAGAAATTGGTATTCTAAAAGGTAACTCAAATCTGGAATTGAAAGAAAGAGTCCATTCAAATCGAAATCCAAAAAAAAGCAACATACTTTTAAGAATCATTGCTTGACTGCAAGACACACTTCCCAGTCCTCTAATGGAGTTGATAAAACTACAATTCTAGCAATTACCATACAAAGTGGTCTGAAATCAGTTTGCAAATGTTCTGTGCTTGATGTGAATTTTTAGCGTCTCTCGGTCTAAACGGTTCTTGTAACACCGCTGTCTTTGTGTGAAATAACATCTATCAGTGTTTGATTTGAACATATTTTTACATAACTGCTTGCAATGTTTTAACTCTACTGATAGAGACCACATGGATATAATTGCACAATGTAAAATGGAATAAAAAAAGTGATATATCAAAGATTTTTATTTTAACCACGTGTACACTTTATCACAAGAATATGTATATGCGTGGGAAATATTCTGCAAAAGAGGGGCGAAAGATACTTAAGGGTCATTCAAACTCATAAGTCGAAAATAAACTGACAACGCCATGGCTAAAAAGGAAAAAAAAACCAAATGACAAACAACAGACAAACAACAGTACACAAAACACAACATAGAAAACTACAGACTGAGCAACACGAACCCCACCATAAACTGGGGGTGCAAAGGTATTCAATTATCCAAATATTTTGGATAAATGTATCATTTAGTTTCTCTTTTAGAATAAAGGGTGGTTAGATTTTTATCGCAGTGCCATTTGGGTGTTTGGGGAGTAAACTCCGACTATTCCAGGATCTGGTCACAGAACTTATATCCATTTATGTCATTTTCTGGTACTTTAGGTCATTTCAAATATATTTGCAAAATAGATACATCGTTTTTTAATTTCCCTTTTCTTGTATACATTGTATATATATTATTTTTCGGCTAATACTTATGCTTATTCAATTTTTATGGATCATCTAATACTTAAAATAGAATAATATACACATGGTTTATGTTATCATCAGTATTCATCACAACTGAAAATAAAATCAATAATGAAAATTACAGAAGTCTGGAAAATGATTTGATCTGTGCCTTGTCCCATACATCTGTGGTCTCGTATGCATATATTCAGATTTGCTCAGTGATTGTCGCTTTACTTACTGTATACAACTTAGTTAAAATTTCAAATATTTTACTAAAGTTTCATTTTCTAGGCTTATTTTATTACAATAATAATTTTTGACAAAGTTTATAGCGTTAAGAAGTAATAAATTGCTACAGATTTCATTTTACCATATATATGCCACCGGACGTAACGCAAAAACAATCAATATATCGTTACACAATAAACAATTAATTTTTTTGCAATCCATACATCGTCATATCATGCCAAATGATAATTTTCATGTAACAGGTGGCGCCCCGGAGCTAAATGCAGAATTCAGATATCTTGCAGCGAGAGGAAAAGAACTCGGTCGAGACGTAATTGTGAGAAGTAATTTAACCTCTTTGTTAGAACCAGGTAAAATAGAGTTATTCCACTTTCACTAGTAGTAATACATCTGACCAAATAGACCTATGTAGGATTTAGAATCCTAATTAGGAGTAATGATTATAATGGTGATATTAATAATATGAAAGAATTTTATTAGGGTAAAGATTGCATATTCTTCAATCAAAACTCATATGTAACTGGCTTAATATCTTTATTTTCGAAGCCTAATCTCTACCTTTTATAGTTCAAAGAACAGTGCAGTTTAGTGAACATTCTTAACATCATATTCGTTACTATGTCAAGCAACAGATTACTAATAATACACTCAAGTTTCAAAATATCGATGTGTATGATTCTTGTCAAGAAAACTGTTTTATTAAAATATAAACACTATACACCATGTCTGTTTTCAATAAATATTGTCTACAATTTGAGACAAAGGATGTTTACCCAGATTCAAAATATTCCTGAATGTGATCCTGTACAATTAGGAAAGCATTATTTTCTCTTTAGTGCCCAAGGGCACTTTGATTATTATGTATTGTAGATTTTTCATAGTTGTGGCAACTGTTTCACTGTTTTATTTAATCTGTTCATTGTCATAATTACTTAAAGACAAATTAAGAGGAGCAGGAAAAGTTTTAAAAAAAACCATTAGATCTGAAAAAGACAAAGTTCTGAATCTGAAAACTTCAGTCAAGGAGTAAAACACACATTCTTTAATCATAACACCAGAAAAACTACAAACTACTTGACTATACTTGTAAAAAATATCATTTTTAAATGAGAGAAAATTTAAGTTAAATTGTCACTTATTTTTATGTTTAGTATTTTAAATGAGATGCGTCTATTTCCAGTGGTAAGCATGTACAAAGTCATATTAGTAATTATTTTACAATATAGAATCACACCAGTAAGTAATTCTAGTTTGCTCTTCTTTATTTCCGAATAATGTTTGTTGTTTTAGGTCAAGAAGATACTGCACAGTTCTTTGCAGACAATAAACTACATGTTGCAGCATCACTGCCTTGTTACAGTGCTAAAAATGTCAACATGCAACGTGGTAAAGGAGTATTTGACAAGAGCATTCATGCTTTACTGGTCCTCAATTCTTTGGGTTATGGTAGAGAGGAGGATTTACAGCTAGATCTGGTTTACAATCCATTGGGTAAGTTCAAATTTTATCATATTTTAAAGGGCCATTAGCTGCCAAATTCATTACCACCAAAGTGAAAAACTAATTGATTTTATTTAAAACATACATAACTATTTACCAGATTTCCAAAATTCAAAAAAAATCTATAAACAATGCATGCAATCATAATAAAGTTTAAACATTTTGTACATATTTGAAGACACATGTGGAGCAGGATCTGCTTACCATTCCGGAGCACCTGAGATCACCCCCAGTTTTTGGTGGGGTTCGTGTTGCTCAGTCTTTAGTTTTCTATGTTGTGATTTGTGTACTAGTATCTGTCTGTTTGTCTTTTTCCTTTTTAGTCATGGCGTTGTTAGTTTATTTTCAACTTGTGAGTTTGAATGTCCCTTTGATATTTCCTGCCTCTCTTTTAAGGGTTTCATGAATACGGATCCGTATTAGGTCAAACTATTAAAATAATAGCGATGTGTTTATGCCCCCACCTGCGATAGTAGTAGGGACATTATGTTTTCTGGTCTGTGTGTCTGTTCGTTCGTCCGTCCATCCGTCTGTCCCGCTTCATGTTAAAGTTTTTGGTCAAGGTATTTGTGATGAAGTTGAAGTCCAATCAACTTGAATCTTAGTACACATGTTCCCTATGATATGATCTTTCTAATTCTAATGCCAAATTAGAGTTTTGACCCCAATTTCACGGTCCGATGAACATAGAAAATGATAATGCGAGTGGGTCATCAGTGTACTATGGACACATTCTTGTTTTTAGCTTATTTTAACAAACTGGCAGCGAATAGCGAATTGTTATTTCAATGTTCTTTTAGTAATATTTGAAACAAAATAAAATCATAATTTCTTTGGTTTCATTTTATCTTAATCGTACCTAATGCTAAGAACTATCATTTTATTGCTAATAATTGCACAGATTGCAATCGTATCCCTATAGCAACAGTATGGTTAGCTGTGTGTTTTCAGCCTTCATCCCTGTCTGTGTTTGTAAACACAACGTAGCGCAGTGACGTTAACAATTTTATAGATCCTATTCACGTCAATGTTAAGCAATTAATTAATAATCATCACTCAGATATTCTATTTAAAATCCCAAAGGGCGAACTAGGGTACTGACAATGGTCTACCATCCGGCAGTTTATCCTTTATTAAATGGTGCGTCAGTTTGGCTGTGCTGGATTTACATTTCATGCAGCCACGTCATGTTAAAATGGGACGTTAAATCCAAAGTCTCGTGTAGAGAAAGTGTGACGCTCTCTGCACGTTAAGGGACTCATGCAACTAATCTTTGAGCACAAGTAGCTCGTTAAAGTAATGAATGCCGTATGATTCGTTATGATCTACCAATAACTATATGTAAATGGAGATAACTCAATTAAAAAATTCGCCTTTGAACTCGCATGAAGCACAATTCATACGACTAAAAGAAAAAAAGATATCACACAAAATTCTTTAATTTCATTTTCAGATATATTGGTGATGTCCTGTCACTCAATAACCAACATTTCAGTGACTGCTGGCATCTCATATTTTCCAGTTAACCCCGAGATTAAAGATACTACCGAAACGAATAATTCTGCTTCATATCTTGATCTTTTCCTTGATATTGACACAATTGGACGACTTCAAACTAGAATACATGAAAAAAGAGATGAATTCAATTTTCCAATTGTCAACTTCTCATTTCTCCCTGTCCCATCGTTTGGCGTTAACATATCTCAGTTTATACGTTACGCTCGTTCATATTCAGATTGTATTGACCTCATTGACAGGGGTATGCTCCTGACACAAAAACTGCTAAAACAGATCTATTAGATAAATGGCTGAAATTGAAAATACATAAGTTGTACGGTCACCATTATGAATTGGTTGGTAAATACGATGCTTCTTTTATGTCTCAACTCACTATCGACATGATTTCTAGATACAAAAATCTGATCTGTTAATTTACTGATTGCATCTTTTTCCCGATTGGGACATTTGGTCTAACTGTGGATTCTCATGCCGGGTAATGCAATGATTCGTGGCAGGACACAGTCTATGTGATTCCCTCGATTTTTGTTGTAATGCAACGTTTAATTTTAAGTTCACAATGCTAAATGAAAGTAATATGTACCCCCTCATTGCCTACATAGACTTCTATTAAATGATAGAAGGGATTAAATTATCATCATGTTTTATCATGATAGGTGCAGCTGTGCAAGATAAGAGGGCGACTATACATAATAATGACAAAAACACTACAATTTTATTTATTAGCATTATTTTACTTTTTTATTTCATTTATAAATCAATTACAAGTATGAAAAAATTGACAAGTTTTGGGGTCTTGACATTTGATGCTATACACTATGACTAATCGTGGCTGACTTCTCAGAACTAAATTGAATCAAATTCTCAACTCTGTAATCAAATACAATGTAGTGGACATATTTTGGAATGTAACCACTTCATTACGCTTTTAATATTCAATTATTAGCAGAAATAGGAATTCAATTCGATTTAAGCCTGCTTATTTAATGAAAGACAAGTCTACAAGAAAATATATTTTATACGAAAAAATGTTAATGAATCTATACAACAAAAATATTCCCAACATATCTATTTTTAAGGTGGCTTTTTACCACCGCCACAGGTCCCGTTAGCAGAGAAATACAAAGAAGAACTGTTGGAACATTTTGGTATAGAATTCAATCAGCTTTACACCATGACAAATATGCCAATAAAACGTTTTGTTGATTTTCTTTACCGAAGGTACGATATTTTAAGAAATATTTATTAGTTTAATGATAATGTTGATAAAAGTTTATATAATGTTTAGCCATATTCATGCATAGTTCTCTAGTTGGAATGTTCAGTGACTTTAAAATCAGCATAAGTTAGCAAAATGATAGTCTACAAAAATGCAAGGAACTTAAGGGCTGAGCTGGTTTGATCTTACTTCATACATTGGCTCAGAATGATACGGTATCATAACTTACAAACGGTTTTTTTTTTGTGAATTTAGATTTGCTTTGTTTTTCTTTTTTTCCTTTAGTTGCACACTTTGAAGTATATTTCACATCTCTTTTCATTCATATTTGCTTCATTTCTTCGTCAGAAAAACAATACTTTCGGTTTTTGTGTCGTTGAGTTGCTGTTTCATTCCCTTGTACATATATCTCTTTTTAATTATATTTGTAGAAACTAGCACTTCATTTCAAAACTGGAGACGCGGGTAGTTTGGTATCCGTCAATCCAAAACACTTTGTGAACGCAACTCCTCTGAGACCGTTTGCTATTATGTGTTGACCATAATGTACCGCCATTTTAATTCGACAATTTTAGAAGGAGTTATATGACTTTGACCATTTTGTTTAAGTTTTGTTACATTGACGCCTAGTGAACGCAACTTCTTTGAGACCGTTTGACACAAAGCACTCCTACTTGGTAGGATTGTTTTCCATCGTGTGAAGATGACCATATTATATCGTCATTTTGATTTGACCATTTTTTGGAGTGTAACATTTGTAATAGACTTTTATCATTTTGTTCACTATTGTACCACGATGTCACCTTATGAACGCAAAACCCTCATATTTAGCAGAATTGTTTTCAACCATATATAGTTGTCCATATTATACCGTCATATTGATTTGACCATTTTTACGGTAGTAATGGGACTTTTTGTTAACTTCTGTATCATAATGTCGAAACTTCTCTGATGAAATTTGACAGAATCTCTCATACTTAACATGATTGGTTTGCCATCACATGTAGTTGACCATATTATACTGAAATTTTTAGTTGACATTTTACGCAGTTGTTTTTTAACTTTGACCATATTTTGACTATCGTACCCCAAAGACACCTTGTGACCCATAATTTAGTATTTTGTTTATTATTCACACAGCGGGGGAACATTTCGCTACGGCTTTTTATAAATGCAAACAAGATGTCCTGAGATCCATGAGCTTTTTAAACTAAGCATGGCTTTCATCATCTTACATATGTTTATTTACACAATGATTCACATTTCAAATTGATAAAGGTTTTTTGGGTCTTAATATATAGCTCAATATAAATTTGTTCACTTTAATTTTGAAAAAGTATTTCCTCTTTCAACTTGAAAAAGAAATAATGACGGTATGTTACAATTGACTGCTAATAAATGCTGTAAGTTGTGTCTGAACATCTTACATACAACAAAACTAAGTATGCTTAATGATGTTAAATGATCATTAATGTCAGTATGGTTTGGGCTTATAGGAGGATTACAGAATCACTTCAAATTGTTTGTTTGTATCCACAATGTTCTTTAAAAAGACGACTTTACTAATTGAATAGTCCTATTTAAATACTAATTTATCCTCATTTTGGTTCATTTTTAAATTATTACTTGTTATTTCCCTTTATATATAAATTTTGATTTCACAAATTTAAACAAATGTTTGAATTTTCACAATATACATATATACATGACGTATATTCTCAAGATTTTAGAACCAAAGCTAAGGCAGAAATAAAAAAGTATGCTCTATCTATGTTAATCTTGCAAGTGAATAATTCATCATCGATGTTTCTTAGCTTATTTTGACAAAATTGAACTAAACTGTCTGCTAAAAGCGAATTATTATTTCACCATTTCATTTTCATTAATGATTGAACCAAAAAAAATTATATTCTATTTTTTTTTTATATCTTGTAGCTAATGCCCCTTTAAACATATTTTATTTTTCATAAAATATACAAACGGATTAGACTTAGTAATGTCTTCTACTCAATATATATGAAGATTATTGCTTTCCACGAATATTTTCAAAAATGAAACAAATTATTTTCTATTGCGTGTAAAAGGAACGAGCTGAAAGACTATATGGAGTTACTTGTACGAAATTATAATCTGGACACAATAGATGGTTTAATGTGTAGAAATCTGATGAATATCAACTGGAATGGTCAGATCTACGATTGCGACTTCAATCAACAACTTGACTTACAGTGTCGAGGAGAATCACAAAGTAAGTTCCCCATTTGGAATATGTCATTGTATATAATTACCATCTTAGTCCTATTCCCATTTCTGATATGTTGCCTCAATGTGAATTCGCATGACGTGTATTGTATGCATATCAGGAGACGCTTACCCTGTTGACGCAGCCGGTCTCGCTCCTTGTGGAGTTGATGCCATTCCCAGTAAACTAAGTGTGTCTCTTTAATCGATTTGAACATCGGTTAACTACTATCGCCTTAATTTGACACTTGAATTATGACAATGATATGTCATAAAATTGAGAATGGAACTATATATGACAATTGACTTTCAGTTTTAAAAAATCATAGGAATGAAGTACAAAAATTAATATAAAATCTTTTAAAACAGGAAGATGACTGTTGGGATAGTCTTTCAAATTAAAGTTTTTTATCAATGCTTAAAATGTGAAAGAATTTTGAACTATTCTCTATTGCTCATAGTACTTTGAGTTAGTTTAAAAATTTACTCAAATTTATCGAGATAGAAAAAAAAATGTAAACGATCGTTACGGAATGTTTTAACAAATGATAATTATCGTTTTTAGAAAGACTGACTGTTTGGGACATCAGTTCATTAGATGAAATGGCAGATGTAAAGATTCGTACAGATAACCACTGTTTTGGATGTACAGCGGGAATGGGGTCCAGTTGACAAGGGGTAACTGTCTAAGGTAATTGTTTGCTTAAATGAGAATATTTTATCCACTTATATAATTAGCATCCACAGAAGTGTCTCACAATTATTACTTTTGACACTTACTGGTTTGCATACGCAATTGCTGTACATATTTTAAAGTGTGCTACCTGTGAGAATTTATTCATAACTTTATGCCTCCAGTATGTGCATAAAATATTAATCAAATCAAATTTGTCAACTTATATTTGTAAACACCATTTAAACAATTTATGTCCGACTTGTATTAAAGCATTTTTAATTCACACATTTTCGTAAATGGTGAATTTTATTGTAAGGCTAGCATTTTCTAATTTAAAATGATGACAAAATAGTATGAAATTTAAAAGGAACATATATATGTCATTGCATAATAAAGTCTTGATAAGAATTAGTTCTAAATTGCAGTTTAAAAAAGCATGTTACATGTGTATGAATAAAAAGGTAGGTGGGAAATACCGGTACATCAATGAAGGAGCAGCACAAAATAAAATGAAACAAGAAAAGATATCTTGAAGACTGTTAGCTATACCATATTTTAGCTCTACATTGTCTAGGCTAGTTGTGAAACAGAGAACAGCAATGGCTTATATCAACACCAAATGCTTTTAAACACACAAACACCTTATAGGTGTAAGAAAATGAAATACACTTTATAAATTTCGTGCATCCATGACACTACAGATGACCTTTTTAACCTGGGACAAACACTTTGGCTTCATTTTTGTAGTTGCATCATATGTCTTAAATCTACGAATTTGAAAATTTGCTCTATTATTAATCTTCTTTAAATTCTTCATAAAATATGTTTCAGTACTGCTCTTATATTGGGAAGCTTTTTCAATAAATCAAGCTACAAAGGTTGAAAGAAATATGCTATAAGAAGGCTGAGGGCTTGAAAAAATCTTTGCAATGTGGTTTTGTATATTAATACTCCTTGCTCTGTTCCTTATTACTTTCGATAAGAGAGTGTCTTTATTTTATTTCAGTTACTTCAACTTCGTACTTATTTTGGCTTTTTAACTTTATTGATTTGAGTCACTGATAAGTCTTTTGTAGACGTACAAAATTATAAGCCTGATTTCTTTGATTGTTTTTATGCTAACCTAAGGTATACATCTAGATGTCTGTGTTGTTGATGAGTTATAGATCTCATCTGTAGAAGTGCATGTAACTATTTTCTCAGTCTTTGTTGCCTTTAACAGCTTGATGATAATTTGAAATATTAGTTATCTTTTCTTAAAATATTTATATTTTATTTTGAAATATTTTTGTCTTTTTCAGACCAGAACCGTTGATGGATCTGTTGACTTAGGCAGTTGATTGATTTTCATTGAGTTTATTCATCTTAATGACACGAAATTGATATTTTAAGCCATTAATGAGGTTTTATTCCAATTTGTTGGTTGGACAGTCACAACAACTGCTATATCATTCAGTATTTGTAACTGTTATAATCAATTAAGTATACCAAATCATCGATTATGAGTAAGAAAATTCAACCAAATAATCACACTGTTGTAAGTGTGATGCCATAAGGACATTATTTGGCCTACTTTTTTAAGTCCGATCAAAACCACAAAACCAACTTTTGGAAGCTTGAGCACATTAAAACATTGAAACAGTCCAACTGCTGCATGACATTTCAAATAAATTTGAACAAATTGCATGATACTATTATTGATCTTTGAATAACTTATTTTTTGTTTAGCAATATCAAGAATAGACTATGGACTAAATGGGACGAAAAGGATGATAAGAAACACATTGACTTCATTTAAAGGTGAAAATTAAAAAATGTATTCCAATTTGTAAATTTATCAGGCCAAGTAAGGTCCTTCAGGCATCCACTCCGTAATAGACTATGTCATAAATAAAAAAACAAGATGCAAAGATATAAAATTGTGAATTTGGCAAACTTAGAAAATAATATCTGATAGATTAATGTCATTAACCTCTGATTTATGATCATAAAGTGTAATGTAATGAATATGTGTATCTATTTATGAAGTTGCCTAGTTTAAACCATATTTGGTAACTAGATAACGGAAGCTTAAAAGATACATGTACTATTCATTATAACAGAAGTGCTTTGTTTTATAAAGTGCTTTATTATGTATGGTGCTTTTTGTGAAAGGTTCTTTATTGTGTATTCTGCTTTATTTATGACCTGTATAATAGTGTCGAATCATATGATCACTATATGTCGTCCTATGTCAACATTGAACTATTTTTATTTTTTACCTCCTAAACTTCCTAACAGAAAACATTCATTTGTACAAGGAGTGATTATTTGACCTCTTATATTTGGGGTAACATCGATAATTTCTGGAGGTTTAGAAATCCAAACAAGTTTTTCAGTTTGGTTCAGACGAGGCACATATTCACTAACATAGAATTTCTCTCCTTCACTACTGAATAGAAATAATCAAAAACTTAAAATTAAACCTTTATAATCTGTTAAAGTGCACCCCTTGTTTCTTTTTTCAAATTTTTTTTTTCAGTATTTCCTTAGATCTAATTTGAGAGTTTTGAAGTGCTTCGAGTTTGGTGATCTTGTCACATTTTCTATTCTATAATTCCTGCTTTACCACAAAACAGAAATAAAACAAACAATCTACAACACGAAATAAAGTTGTGCTTGAAGTTCTCTTGTTCCGTCTAAATCAAATATGATTTCTAATGTATCCAATAGTCAAAGGGAGTTCCAACATGGTTGACTTTGGTACAAACATCTTTGTTCCAAAATAACTACACTACTGAACAAGAATGATCATAAATTCCCCAACGGATTGAATCATTTATTTCCCTTAAAAAAATATGTTATTATGGAAAACGACAACAAGTCTTCCATGGAATACTTTATTGTCTTACTTTTTATTTGCAGCTAGTAATATTTATAATCAAATTACATATATAACTGTTTATTAGTAATTAAATACACATTTGATAGGCTTTCTCATAATCATTGTGTTTTGAAAATAGTGTTAGTTACTTATATTAATTTCTAGTCAAGTCATGGTAATCTTATAAAAAAATTATAGTTCATGTATTGGTATCATAATTTCCATTTCCTAATATTTGTGTGTCTGTACTTTATAAAGACTTTCTTTATTGGATTACAAAGTTATGAGTTATGATATGTCTGCTTTTGCGATAATTATCCACATCTTGTAGATTGATTATATTATTACATTGGTTGCAATGAATTACATTGATTTCCCAGTGAAATAAAAACCGATAATTTCACATGTGAAATAAACGTGGTTATTTCACTCCTCTGACGTCATACAACAATAGGCGTTGTCAAGACGTCGATAACGTCGGATCAAAACAAATTGTGAATGCGTAGAAAAAGATATAGTTCCTTACGTTTTCTACTTTAATTTCATAAAAAAGCCATTTGCCCAATGTAATAAAAAGAATAACTAATCAAAGAATTCAAATATCGAAAAAATATTCAACTCGTGACCGAACAACACTGATAATTAACTCATGCGCTACGCGCATTCGTTAATTAATGTGTTGTTCGGTCACTCGTTGAATATTTTTCTCTATTTGAATTCTTCGATTAGTTATTCTATAAGTAATGTTTTCAATGTGTATATTCACGTCCCTGATAAATTCACAGCAATAAAGCTTAATCTTAATGTTTATAGTGTTTTATTTCATTCATGTAGGGTTACTGAACATTCAATAGTTTTTTTGTACAAAAAGAAAGTCAAAGGAGTACAGATAACACCAAGGCGAAAACAAAAGAGACGAGAAGACAAACAACAGTCAAAAAGAGTTATGGAGACACCTAAATATTGAGCGTTGGTGCTATGGGAGGGTAAATTGGTGATGCCCCACTAGTATACAAAATATAAAAAAAGATTTTGAAGTCCAACCACTATTCTACGTATTTTGTGCTAATACAAAATATACAACTGTAGTTTTTGTAGTCCCTCCCATTTTTACGAAGTTTTTATGAAAATAAAGATATCACCGTGTAATTTATGGGGCGTTTGGAGCGCTTTTATTGGTTTAACTTCATCAGGAATGATCAGAAACATTTTTTTAAAGCCAGGGATGTATAAATACGCGAAGAATTATATGACCAAAAGGGACCTAAAAGAATATATACTAAACCATCTCGGGTCGACTTCGCCTGATGGGGTTGAAACCTTACTTTCTTATATTTCCAATTTATCAATAATGTAGTTTGCTTATCATCGTGATTTTAAAACACACATGGAGAAGGGTTTAATGATTATAGTGTTTGGACACACATGGAGAAGGGGTTAATGATTATAGTGTTTGGACACACATGGAGAAGGGGTTAATGATTATAGTGTTTGGACACACATGGAGAAGGGGTTAATGATTATAGTGTTTGGACACACACGGAGAAGGGGTTAATGATTATAGTGTTTGGACACACACGGAGAAGGGGTTAATGATTACAGTGTTTGGACACACACGGAGAAGGGGTTAATGATTATAGTGTTTGGACACACATGGAGAAGGGGTTAATGATTATAGTGTTTGGACACACACGGAGAAGGGGTTAATGATTATAGTGTTTGGACACACACGGAGAAGGGGTTAATGATTATAGTGTTTGGACACACACGGAGAAGGGGTTAATGATTATAGTGTTTGGACACACATGGAGAAGGGGTTAATGATTATAGTGTTTAGACACACATGGAGAAGGGGTTAATGATTATAGTGTTTAGACACACATGGAGAAGGGGTTAATGATTATAGTGTTTGGACACACATGGAGAAGGGGTTAATGATTATAGTGTTTGGACACACATGGAGAAGGGGTTAATGATTATAGTGTTTGGACACACATGGAGAAGGGGTTAATGATTATAGTGTTTGGACACACATGGAGAAGGGTTTAATGATTATAGTGTTTGGACACACACGGAGAAGGGGTTAATGATTATAGTGTTTGGACACACACGGAGAAGGGGTTAATGATTATAGTGTTTGGACACACATGGGGAAGGGTTTAATCATTATAGTGTTTGGACACACATGGGGAAGGGGTTAATGATTATAGTGTTTGGACACACATGGAGAAGGGGTTAATGATTATAGTGTTTGGACACACATGGAGAAGGGGTTAATGATTATAGTGTTTGGACACACATGGGGAAGGGTTTAATGATTATAGTGTTTGGACACACACGGAGAAGGGGTTAATGATTGGACACACATGGAGAAGGGGTTAATGATTATAGTGTTTGGACACACATGGGGAAGGGTTTAATGATTATAGTGTTTGGACACACATGGGGAAGGGTTTAATCATTATAGTGTTTGGACACACATGGAGAAGGGGTTAATGATTATAGTGTTTGGACACACATGGAGAAGGGGTTAATGATTATAGTGTTTGGACACACATGGGGAAGGGTTTAATGATTATAGTGTTTGGACACACATGGGGAAGGGTTTAATCATTATAGTGTTTGGACACACATGGGGAAGGGGTTAATGATTATAGTGTTTGGACACACATGGAGAAGGGGTTAATGATTATAGTGTTTGGACACACATGGAGAAGGGGTTAATGATTATAGTGTTTAGACACACATGGGGAAGGGTTTAATCATTATAGTGTTTGGACACACATGGAGAAGGGGTTAATGATTATAGTGTTTGGACACACATGGAGAAGGGGTTAATGATTATAGTGTTTGGACACACATGGAGAAGGGGTTAATGATTATAGTGTTTGGACACACATGGAAAAGGTGTAACACCACTAATTCGGCCCGGCCACAAAGCACATACCAGAAAGTAGTACATATTTAACACAAAATAGTTCCTACGCAAGTGAAACTTTCAAAATATGTAGAATATTTAGGTATTGTTGGTATGAAATGAAAGCTGAATGACTGGTGTTCATTGTAGAACACTTTTTATGCCCCCGCCGTAGCGGAGGGGGCATTAAGTTTTACCCTTGTTGACTTATAAGTTCGAATATTAAAAAAAACTGCACCAAATTTTATAAAGAGGGTACTTTTTGCCTGTATGTCAGATCTGAAGTACCTGTTTTGGTACACCGAAGTTCCGGGAACCAGTTCTTTCTTGTATGCAATTAAAGGTATGTTGATGTTTCCAGTACAAGACACCATAAAGTGTTGCTTTGACATGCAATGATTGTCACTTTATTTGAACTTGAAACAAAAGAGCTGTGTCTGCTTGAAATTGAGGAATTTAACATAGAAAGCAATGGGGCCATGAATTAGTGGTGTACTTCCAGAAGGGGTTAATGATTATAGTGTTTGGACACACATGGAGAAGGGGTTAATGATTATAGTGTTTGGACACACATGGAGAAAGGGTTAATGATTATAGTGTTTGGACACACATGGAGAAGGGGTTAATGATTATAGTGTTTGGACACACATGGAGAAGGGGTTAATGATTATAGTATTCAAACACATATGAGGAAGGGATATATGATAATAGTTTTTAAACACAGATGAAGAAGAGATTAAACATTAATTTTATAAAGGAATGTACAGAAAAAAATCAAATTTTGTTTCATTTCAAATTCAAGAATAAAATCATGGTAACTGTATTTTTTTCTTTTACTATTCTAAATGTATTTATAACCTAGATTTGCAAATTTTGAAAACATTTTGACTTTATTAATCCAAATATTCGATTGAGGATCGTTTGTCGAGACTTTCTGTAAAAGTTCATACTGGAACAATTTTTCATCAATCTTTGTTTCTTTTATGTGTCATCAGGTTTTTTTTAGCTATAATATTTGCACAATTATCATATTTTGTCCGGGGGGGGGGGGGGGGGGGATACATGGATAATCACTATTTTGTCACTAGAAAGAAAAATAAACGTAGAATTTAGAAACAAGAAATGAAAAGACAGCTTTTATTCAACTATTTCCGGAAACAGAAAGGAATGATTTGTCCATGTAAACGTTGAACGCAAAAACAGAAATCACCACCAGATGAAATAAGATGAAAGTTCGAAAGACTTGACGTGATGGAAAATCTGTACCCGCACTTCCAATCCTAGAGAGCAAAATACTCCAATACGATTACAAGCGCCTCTCAAAATATTCATTTGGTCATTAAGTTTATAATAAAACATGCATATACTGTGCCATTATCTATTGGGGCGATTGTTCTCTATATTATTTCATAGTAAGACCGTTGAACCATTGTCACAGGTTAGGGGGATGGTTGGCGCCTTCAAATATGTTTAACCCCGCAACATTCTATATGTGCCTTTCCCAAGTCAGGAGCCTGCAGTTTAGTGGTTGTCGTTGGCTCATGTCTGTCATAATTTTTTTTTGTAAATTGTTTTGTTATAAATTAGGCCGTTAGTTTTCTCAATTGAATTGTTTCATAGTTTCATGTCGGGGCCTTTCTTAGCCGAAAATACGGTATGGGTTTTTCTCATTGTTGAAGGCCGTATGGTTGCCTATAGGTGTCAGATCACCAATTCACTCATTTCAATTTAGAACGTAAAAGTAGTCCTTCTCTGACAAAAAATATTGCTTTTGGTGTCACTGTTTACTTAAACTAGCAAATAAATTTTCAGATATGAAATTTTTGGTGAAAGAGAAATATATTTAGACCATTTTGAGCCAAAATTTACTTGTCCATGAGTGATTTTGCATTCAAAATTTAGGATTAATGCGCTCCGTAGTATACTTATTTAAGATTTCCAGAAAACCAAGGGTTATTTTTAGTAGTACTTGACTTCCGAACGGTAGAATTTTGCTACAAGACTTAAACATTGGTGGAAGATTGGCATGTAGAAAGGTGATACATGTACAATTCATGATATACTAAAGTACCTGCTTTCTATAAAGTTAAACTTAAGGTAAAATATTTAGAAAGCTGTGAAAATTGCAAAATTTGGTTGAATAGATAGGGAATTTGAATTGGTGGTCTGACACCTATAATTGCTTACATCCCCTTCAACTTTGGCAATCATAATACATCTCCTTATTTTCATAAGTACATACATTATACATGATTGTATTTGATAAGTGACACTATCAAACAGTTGTGTAATGTCGGCACAGTAAATAAAAATAGCAGACTACTATTGAAAAAGGTAGATCAACATTTTGAAGTGTTTTATGTTGTTGTCCAATGTTCTTTAAAGATGTAAGAAATATGACAAACTAAGAAGAGGTTCCTGACTTTAGCTTTGTAGTAATATTTTTTTCATCATCCATTTTCGTTGGTAGATAGCTCTGATTGCTGACATATTGGTTTAGAGGATGGAGTCTAATTAGTAAAGATCCTCAATAATACAAAACTGTATATATAAGGAAGGTGTTAAAGAGACATCAACTGGACAACAACATAAAACATTTCAAAATCAATTTACTGTATTCAATGATAAACAAGTATCCAAATCATATCTTCGAAAGCCAAGAATCTAGGAAGGTTCTACTAACTGAATCTACAATCTACAATCAACACCAAATTCTGACATGAACAGCTGGTATCAACAACAGCACTTTTATTTTCACCAATGTTTGATTGCAATAGTCTGACAATATAAAAAGTTACCAATGGTGTTTAAATGATAACCAGGTCTGTTTCTCTTACATTTGAAAACCTATACAAAAATATTAAGCTATGTTTACAAAATTAAAAAGTAAA